TAACAGTTAAGCGAGAGCTTGGCACTGCCACCAGATAGAAACAAGGTGCCAGGCCAGATAAAACAAGGTGGAGGAACAGATTCGGGCCACGGGCCTTGTGTTTGCCACCCCACCTGTGTGCTAGAAGAGTAGCAAGGTCACCTGCACTGTCATCAAATACTTCTGGTCCTCTTACCTTAGTCCCATGACCCTGTCCCTTGGTTGTCTTCTCTGCTCCGTGTCACCAGAAACCCCACCTCCAGTCACCTGTTTAAAAGTTCGAGGGTTGTGTGAATTCCTGGCAACTTCCTGACTCCCTGATTATCTGGTCTTTTTCCTTGGGCTCCACCATCTTACCGCTCCTGGAACTCTTTCTGCTGCTCTAAATTTTAATGTATATAATTCCATATTTGTCTCTATCGTTCTTCACCGCCCTCTTCTCCTTTTCAGCCTCTGGGCTCTGTTTGTTGGTTTGGTTTTGTGTTTATACCTCTCTCTCCTCCTGAGACTTAGATCCAAAGCTACCAGTTATTTATCATTCTGTTTCCCATTAGTTAATCTCTGACCCTTCATAAACTAGACTTGACGACGTCCTTGATTCAGGCAAAGGAAATGCACAAGTCACAGTAAAAGGGACACATGGAAGCCAAATACACTTGGAGATGTGTCTATTCATCACACCGATTCCATAAAGATCTGGGAGAAATGGGATAACTCTGGGGAAAATGAAAAGAAAAACAAAAACAAACAAAACGGCCACAGAGTTAAGAGAACGGTGGTCTAATGTTTCAAATCCAGGCTTGAACACGTTTCCTGTTAGAGGAACTAAAATTCAGATCACGAGAAACATCGGAGCCGCTCTTCCTAGAAAATGTTTCTCCGAGGTATTTTCCTTAGAAGAGAGAATCTTTTATGGTTTTTATGGTAAAAATCCTGGAGAAGCTTGGAAACAGCCAAGCAAACAGGAAATAGAGCTCCGCTGGACAGGAAGGCTCGGGGAAGAAAAGCCGGTCTCTGAAAATGTGGCTCTCGCTGAAGCCGCTGAAGCAGGGCCTGCAAAAGCAGTGATAATAACAAAGCTGGCGTGGAGACTGATTGATGAGGTACCGGGTGCCAGCGCCGCACCGGGTGCTGGCGGGTGTCCGGGCTTTAACTTTTCACGCTCATCCCCCCTAAAAGCAAACACTCTGTTTCATGCGCTTTCAAACAAGTTGAGAATCCAGTTTACAGACATTTACCAGAAGCTACTCTGCCTAGAATAGCCAAAGAATTTTGAGTTCTAGGACATTTTAGACACACGTGAAGAACTGGGACAAGCCTGGAGCAGAAAGAGGATAAACTTTAAAAAATATTTATCTCTTGGGTTAAATATATTTTTCAGAGTGGGGGCCTTTGTTGTGAACACATTCTGAGGCACACTGACTTCTCTGTAGTCCTGGATCTGAGAGGTGACCGGGCTGGTGGAACGACCCAGGTCCACTATACTGGGACCAGGAGTGGGACCTCCCCCTGGGAGACTTCAGAGCAGGCTGAGAAAAATGCCAGAGTCCCACTCGGCTGATGTGGCCGGCTGGGAACGGTAAGAGGCTTTCAGAATTGTGTGGTGGCTGCCGTGTGGCCAGGAACCTGAAGAACCTTAAGAGTCCTAAGTCCGGTGATGGGGACGAGCATCCACAGTTATCTGACCCAGGGTCACCTTGGTCACCTTCATTGCAGGGTCCAGGGGTGGTGGGTGGGAGAGGAGCCAGTGGGGGGTGGCCAGGAGGCAGGGAGGTCACGTGGGAATACTTGCCTATGCGGCTATAACCGCATCCCCCCTCCCCAAACATTCAAATGTTTTCTTGGAGCTACCCTGCTGCCTCACCCATCTCACCTGGCTCATTGCCCCCAACAGAGGCTGTAAATCACCTAAAGAAAAAAGCAGCAGGGAAGACCAGTCTCTTATAGCCCCTGCTTCCTGTATTTGGTGCGTGTCCCGTGGTCCTCCGGATCTTCAGCAGTTTATTGCCGGTTCTCCTCCATGTTCTCAGCGGAAAGTGGTGGAAGTTTGTGGGACTAAGCCACAGGGCCACCAAGAAGAGTCAAGGGGATGGCCTGGCTCTATTGCCCTGTCATGTTTCTGAAGTGGGGCTGAATCTGCCCCAAGGACAGAGCGGAGCCCCAGGGGGCTCATGCACCTGAGCCACCTGAGTCTGCTGCGGAGGCTTGAGACCCGCTGGCCAAGGGCGACCCCTCCCGCCTCCTGTCCCATCAGGGCCCCATGGAAAAGGACAGCGAGGGCACTTCCTCTGCCACACAGGAAAGATGGGAAGAGTGCTGGTCACTTACCCTGTTCTGTGGGGGTGAGATGCCCCCCTTTATTGACTAACACCAAGGTCAGCAAGCTGCTTGCTATTATTGTAATTTTCACCTAGTTTCTTTCAAATAGAGTATTAACCCTTCTCCTGAAAAAAGCTCTGCCCTTTGGCAACTTTCTCTGCAGAGAATTAATGAATTAGTCTACTGGTAAGGGTCCTCTGAGGTCCCGGTTAAGGCCCGAGGAAGACAGAAACCGGATCTGGGAGATGTACTGGGAGATGTAACAGGAGGTGTACTGGGCTTCCCCCATCCCTCCTGGTGGAACAGCAGCTGTGTCTCTGAGTGGAAACAAGAGGTTATTTTAGGGCGCAGAGCATCTCTGCTGGGCTGCACCCAAGTGATGATGGTGATTTTGAAGGTGCACTTTACCCAAAGAAAAGCCTTACTATCGGCAAGCTCAGGGCCACCATAAACACGAGGTGAGATGTTTAGGAAATTCTGACGGAAGTGGGGACAAAGAATCAGGTTCACAGTGGCAGAGTTTCCCCGCTAGTCCTCTTTTTCAAAGAGCTGTGTGTGAAGCACCCGAATAAAGCACAGTAGGGGGCACTGAAAAGTGAAGAGTTTCCTCCTCTTAACAAGTGGACTCTCTCATGAGTGACTGACCCCACGTCTCCCAAGGGCATTGCGGGGCATTCTTCACTAATGTCTGCTTGACGCAGGGAAGCCTGTCAGCTCCTGGTGCCCCTGTCTCTGAGCAGAGGGCAGAAAGGCCCTCAAGGGCAGTGGAAGTGTAACTTAGGGTTACAGTCACGTGTGACAGGGGGAAGTTCAAAGGCAGAGCACAGCATGGCTGTTGACTGAGTTTCTAGAAAAAAGCTTTTATTGCAGCTTTACAAGATGGACTCTTCTTCATCCCTAATGATCCGAAAAGCCAACATGTCCAGAAAGGACAACTTAGAAACTTCGAGGTGGAGCTGGGGGCTTGGGGGGAGGGTGTGTGTGGAGGCAGAGCATAGTGAGTTGGTGCTGGGCCAAGCCCGGCCTGGAAGTTACTTGTTTCTCCAAATTCTGAACTGGGAAGGCACAGACCTAGTATATATTTTTTATCCTCAACTGAGGGCATGCTAGTTAATTTTAGAGAGGGGAAGAGAGGGAGAGAGGGAGAGAAATATTGATCAGTAGCCTCTCACATGTGCCCCAACTGGGGATCAAAACCAAAACCCAGGCATGTGCCCTGACCGGGAACCCAACCCATGACTTTTGGTTTATGGGACTACACCCAGCCGACTGAGCCACACTGCACACTGGCCAGGGCCACGCCTAATTTTTAACAGAAGTGATCAAGGCTTCCTATTTGATCGAGAAAACAGGATGACTATTAAGAGGATTCTTGGAAATAATTTCCATTTATATATAGGAACTGTGTGAAAAGAACCATAATACATGTTCGACATTAACTAGTATTATTTAAAAGGACTGTTAGGGAGTTACTGTTACTATAAACCTTGTCTTACAGATGGGGAAACTGAACTTGAACCCAAGGCATTGGACTCCGAAGCTCGTTGCCAGAACAAACGTGTGCCTCTTTGAATGGTTGAGCTAAACCATTTGCATGGGAAGGTGTACTGGGCACACTTCTCCTGGATTTGTGGCTGTAGTTTATGTCTCAAGTCTCGTCTGCTACCAGCTCCTTGGGCAGGTGTGTCCCGTTGGGCTGCCTGTTACCCAGGGTTGTCTAGTTCCCAGGACTAGGCTTGTGCTTGACTCCTGTCTTCAGGGGGCCCCACCCTATGGAGCGAAATTGTGCTCAGTCCCTGTGTGGGGCCTGTGTCCCGTCTACTCCCGAACAGGCCTGGGTAACACCTCACTGGGAGTCTAATTCATCCCAGAGAACCGACGGGTACCTATTTGTCCCAACGTCATCACTACTGTCTAAGTCATGGGACTCTATCCGATGCTTTGTCCCTCCCCTGTGAGCCAGCCCAGGTCTCAGGACCCATTCTGCCTTATCTAATAGGGGGGCTAGAGTTGCAGCTGTTGCATTTATACTAACGGTACCATTGGTGTAAACATCTCACTACCACCTGTCTTCTCTGTAGGCACACACCTGTGCATTTACCTGGTGAGATGCATATTATTTGATTATAATTGACTTTCTTCATATAATTATATATATGGCTGTATACATTAGGGATGTGCTTTTAAATGATGTGCATAAATAAGTTTCTTTAACTGTGACTTTCATTTCAGAATAATAAAAGGTTGCTAAGAAATGTTTTTGATGAAAACCAGGTTGGGGTAAGGCTGAGACCCCTGGAGTGGTGGGAAGAGCAAAGCTTTTAGACAGACATCAGTACAGGTTCTGGTTCAAGGTCAGAAGTGTGACGGGGGTCAAATCACTTCCTTGGGTCTGAGTCTCAATTTCTTTATCTACAAAAAGGAGGTATTAGCTACAGCCTAATTTTGGCCTGAATTGTAACCGAATTCAGGGCTGTTAATGACTATTCAGTGTTAGTACGTGTACAGTTCTTCTGCCCCGCGCATAGAAAACTGTTAGCTATTGTGATGGTTATTAAAATGAGGACAATCTATATACCTCATAAGGTTGTAAATATTAAGCAAGATGCTATCCTAAGTACCTCGTTAACAGATATCCAGTAATTATATTGCACTGAATCCTAATTTCGGAAAAAAAATAATAGCAAAGAAGAAATTAAACATTCAAGACAAGTTTTTGGTTATTTTATTTCCCTCAGTTAATATCCCTCTGTGGACATTAACTGGGGTACTTAAAAGTCATTTCAATTAGGAATCTTTTCAGTCCCTCATCAATTACTTCAAGTGTTCTAGTCTCGAATACATTCCTTTCTTCTACAAACTTCTGAAAGAGATGAATACCTCCTCCTACACCGAAATAATGTGCTTTGCTGGCCAAAAGCACTCGCCCGTTTTTATGTAACAGCCTACGGAACGTCTGGTGCAAAGAACCATAGTAATCCGGATTGTAAATGGTTTCTGAGGTAAGAATGAGATCGTATCTGTCAAAGACTCTTCCCCTGGTTAGTACCAGCTCACAAAACTCAGACCACTCTCCGGAGAAGAATCGGCACTTACAGAGCCCTTGTGCTGCTCTTGATCTCTTGCACCTTTTCCCATCTGGTTGGTCTCCATCACTTTCTTCATCCTCCGAAGCGGAGTTAGCTGCTGCATTAGGTATGGTTACTTCATCGATCACCATACTGTTATAATCTTGAAAATGAACTTCTTTGGCCCCTCCCTTGAGGGCAGTTATACCCAGCAACCCTGAGCCACAGCCCAGATCCAACACTTTTTTCCCCGCAAATTTCACTTGGGCCTTTGTGAAATAAGCCAGGAGGTCAAAGGTACATTCCCAGATTTTTAAGCCCCCTTCGTAAACACCGGTGATCAGATCAGAGTCAGAAGAAAAGCTTTTTGAAACGATGTTTTCTCCAGGGAAGTTCTCTTTCAACAAGATGGTTTTCACCACCGACATGTTAACCTGCTGGAGACCTGGTAACGTTTCTAAGACTTTATTTTCTATCACTTCCTTTACATTTTCAGGCACGGCATGCTCTCTGGCAAGTCTCAAGCAAGGCTGTTTTCCGTGAGGCTCCAAGTTACCTGAGCTGTTGGCTGCATCGAGGGAGCTGTCTGGGTCCTGAGAGGGGGCTGCATTTCCTGCTGACTCAGGGGTCCCCAAGGGGTCCCGAGGGCAGTCCCACTGTTCTCTAGAACAGCCTGTGTCCCTGTGTTTGCCTTTCTGACTTTCTGAGACTGAAGCCTCTTTTGAGTTCAGGGTCAAAGCTCCATCTCCAAGGGCTGTTGATTCATTGTCCAGCAGGCCTTCTACAGTGAAATTAAATTGAAAAGTCATCCTCCAGCAATCCTTCAATTAGAAGGAAGACTCCTCAGCTTCTGCTTGGAAGTGAAGACAGGATCATAAGCCTGTCTCAGTTATGTATGCAGTTTCGTTTGGGTCCATTTCTCTTTAGCTGCTTATACCGTTACAAATATTTAGAGATGTTTCCAAATGACTTCTTTGAGGTCTCTGCTTAACTCTGGAGAAAAAAAGAAGAAATAAAATTGTTATTGAAAAGCAAAATGAAATAGTCCCTTATAATATTAAACAGTAACACCCCCCCCCGCCCCCGCCCCGCCCCAACCCAGCAGCTTTTTCTATAAAATTTGTGAGGGAGATACAAAGATTTGGAAGCACACCCACCCCTCAGGGATCGAAAGCTGGAGAAGAGAATTAAGAGTAAAAAGAAATAGCCCTGGCTGGTGTAGCTCAGTGGATTGAGCGTGGGCCTGCGAACCAGACAATTGCAGTTCGATTCCCAGTCAGGGCACATACCAGGGTTGCAGGCCGGTTCCCTGCAGGCCAGTTCCCAGCAGGGGATGCATGAAAGGCAACCATACATTGGTGTTTCTCTCCCTCTCTCCTTCCCTTCCCCTCTAAAGATAAATAAATAAAATATTTAAAAAAGAGTTAAAAAATAAAAGAACAAGAGCAGCAACAACAACTAGAAATAAAAATGTAAAGTCCAAAATTTTCAGGCAGGAAATGACAAGCCTAGCTACTTGGCGTCTGTCACCTGCCATGACGCAGCCCAAACACATCACCTGCTAAACTCCAGGTGAGTAAATTCCAGGATCACTGCAGTCTGCTCCTGTTGCAGGTAACAGGGGTCCAAGAGCTTTATCTTGGTAAATGGGTAGCTCTGTAAAAACTTGGGCGGCTCTGCTTTGGTGCAAGGTCACCCAGCTGACCTCACTGCACTTAGGGGAGACAAGCAGCCCCAAGTGGATGGGCCTGGGGTGCTTTTGGAGTAATCGCTAAGGGTCAGTTTGGTGGCAGAACAAACACAAAATAAGGGCAGAACGTTTGGAAGAGACCCGTGAACGTGGAAGCAACTTTACTGGGATTCTTCTCTGTATCTACGGTGCTAGATCCGCTTCAAAACGCACAGTTCTGGCAGGTGGGGTCTTTATTCCCAGTACACAAGAGGTACAAAGCAGGGCCACACGGCTCAGTGGGTAGGAACGTGCCCTTTTGCACCCGCTGCAGGTCCCGGACACACCCCGCCCCAGATGTGCAATTTCAAAGCCCCCTGGGACCAGGGGTGGCAATTGGGGACGTTGGGCCCTCACCTCCCCAAAGCGCCTAGATGTAACGTTGACAGCGATTCAGATCTCGGGATGCACACAGCCGGCCAGTTTCCAGCTCCAGGCGCAGGGTAGGTAGTCAGGCGGGACGCTTGGGTCGGAGAGGGCGCACCAGCGAGTCGAGTCCTCCGCGGGCCAGACAAGCCCGTTTTCCCGCCCCCAGCCACTTGGGGCCCGGGCTCAACAGGACCGCAGCCCGCTCCCTCTCTATGGTTCGGGTGCCCGCCGGGAGCTCGCAAGGCCTGCCGGGAGGGCGGCGCTTCCGTTCTCGGCTGTGGCGGGAGTGTTCGGATGTTGGCTCCCGGGAGAAAACATGTCTGAGGAGCGCGCCGTCCCCGCGAGCGCCGTTCCCCTGGAGGAACTGAGTAGCTGGCCGGAGGAGCTGTGCCGCCGGGAACTGCCGACTGTCTTGCCCCGGCTCCTCATATCCTTGGCTGTCGCCGGCGCCTGGTCAGGGGCGTAGGGCCGGAGTCGCACCTCTCCCCTCGGCTCGGTCACACCCGCCGCCGGGTCGCGTTGTGTTCCCGCGGCTCGAACCCTCTCGGCTCGTTGTGGGCGAGCGAGTTGGAGCGGAGAGGGGACGGAGGGCGAGCGGGGGCCGCTGCTGGCGTCGGGACTGGGGGGGGGCTCGCTCAGGCGCCCCGTCCCACGCTCGCGGCGGTGAAAGTGGCGTTTTCGCCCTTTCCTCTGCCTTTTTTCTGTACTCGTCTCGTGTAATTACGTGTAAATAACTTTTGCCTGGGAGAGCGGGGGAGGCAAGGACTCGAATCTGAGCCCTGGGTTTCAGCTGCGGGGGGTGGGGGGGTGGAGAGGCGCCCTGAGCTGCTGCGTCCGAGGCGGGTGGTGGCTGTGAACCACGCTGTCTCCCGAACCGTGGGACGCAGTTCTGCCGTGGTGCCGAGCGTGTAAACGGTGTTAAAAGGTCCTCCCCCTTCCCTTTTCCCCCTCTTTTTTTTGTTCATTGCTGGTTAGGAGTTGCTAATCGTCGTTATTGGTTTCATCTGCTGGGTTTGAGCGGCCAGTGCCTCGGTCGTCCAGGTGCAGACCGTTCTGTCGTCCTCTCGCGCCTTTGGGATTGGAAATGTGCCCGAGTCCAGCCTTTCATGTTAAAATGTAATATATTTTTTTAAAGCCTTGGCGCTTACCTTCAACGTAAAACTACACTTCAAGAAGGAAAAAAAAAAGACCTTCTCTTGAGGGACTCTCAACACTGCACAACTGATTTTTACAGTTCAAGCCAAACACGAATGTGACCGCGTGCGTCGACGGCATTCGGCATTAGCACAGTCCCGCGAGCTGCGGAAGCCCTTTGTTAGTCGTGCAGATACAGAATCCCCGTCCTCGTGCACTTTGACTTTGGAAGGAAAATAGCTGTCCTCCTCAAAAACATTTCCTGGGTCCCGAACATGTTTGTGTCAGGCAGGGTGGCAGGCTTTGGAGTTACAAAGATCAGGGGCGTGGCTCCTCTTCTTCCCCCCAAACTTACAGGGGGACTTTAATAATTGGAAGGCGTCGTTCTTGCCTGTGACATCAGTGAACCTGTGACATCAGGTTCTTTGCACCTCAGGTGTAACCTGCAGAAGCACCCAAACCAGTTCTTCCCCCAGTTTTCTTTATTGAAACACAGCAGGTTTCCCAAGAACATAATTTTGTTCCAGGTCGTTTCATTGTAAAATAGAAGCCTAACTCTTGTTTATATTAATTAGCCTGTGGAAAAATGGGTTTTGTTGTGCATCGTGTTGCTTTAGGTCTGAGAACCTGTGGACAACGTTAAGGGAGGACTTAACTGTTTGTGAATGGTCCACAAACCTCGAATCCTCACCTCCGGTCAGCAAGTTCTGTTGTATCGTGAATCCGTCCACTTACCTCCATGCTCCCATTCCTACAACTCGTCCAGACCCCATAGTTTCCTCATGTTCTCTTATATGGGGAGGGTCCCCCCCCCCCCCCCCCCCGCAACTCAGCATCATCTCCTGGATGGCAGGCCCCTTGTAGCACAGGCTTCCCCTGCTGGGTGAGTGTTCTAGGAGCCCATCTGTATCAGTGCACCAGTTGGCGTTGTTGTGAGAGGCTGCATTGGCTTCCATGAATTTTTTATGAAGACTCAACGCGTTTGCCAGCTGCATGGTGGGTGATTTAAGAGTGCACCTGCCCACACCTGACTGAGTGTTCAGCAGTTTTTGATCAAAAACAACATGACCCCTGCCCTACCCTCCCCATTCACTCAGTCTCACCCCAAGTGACTGAACGAAAAAGTCCTTCAAGGGAAACATTTTGTCCATATAAATGGAAGAGGTGAAACAAAAAACAGAAGAACCAAAAGGCATCAAAACTGATGAGTTCAAAACTATTTTGAGCAGGGGAAAAAACGCAATAGGTATATTGCATCAAACAGAGTACTTTGAAGGTGACTGACGTTTAACATGTAAGAATAAATATATGATTTTTTATAGATAAATTTGGGGGAGGTTTTTTGAGTCCCCTTTCGAATCCATTTCCTAAAAGTAGTCCAGAGTGAAAGACGGATCATGTCATTTTCTTTTTAAATCCGCCCCCCCCCCCCAGTGGCTTCTTAACAAATTAGAAATAAAACCCAGACTTGCCTTCACTACCCCCTGTGATCTAAGCCTCGCCCTTTTCCTGGCCTCGCTTGCTGCCTTCCATTTGCGGTCTTTGGTTGCTGACCCCTCAGCCTCGGGTGTCCCCCAGCCTTTTGCACTACTCACTGGAGTCCTGGCTCAGCGTCACCTCACTTGGCCCTTTTCAGAGCCCTCAGTTTTAGGTCGTTGCACCACATCCAGTTGGCAACACTTTGTGTGTTTTTCTGAAGAGGACTTTGTCACTGACAGACAAATCCTTTTGCTGGTTCTGTTGCTGTTCCATGTTCCCTCCCCACAGAGTAAAGGTCCCAAAGGCAGAAAGAGAGGTGCTTGCCCTGCATCGTCCCTGCACCTGGAGCAGGGCCTGGCACGTGCCAGGCATTGAGTACGGGCTCAAACTACTGTTTTTTAAATGCCTGCAAGTCTCGTTAGACCATATTTCTTTTCAACAAATTTGCATTAAAGTTTGCACTAAAGCCGCTGTTGCATCACTGAAACAGTCATTTTCATGTTTTGCATTTCACATATTATTTTCCGCATGTCTTCATAATTATAATGCACGTTTAATTTTTGAAGGGGCTAGGATTTTTTTGACCTTTGCTGAAATTTTTTCTTAAGGCAAATTATGTCCTACCAGACTCAAATAAGTTGATGCCTGTACCTTGTTTTGAATGCTGCTGCATAAATATACATGCACCGTTGAGATTTCAGAAGAAAAATCAGCCTTGGCTGGGTGGCTCAGTTGGAGCATTGTCCCATGCACCACGCGGTTGCAGGTTCAACCCCTGGTCAGGGCACATTACCTGGCTTGCGGGTTGGATCCCAGGTCAGGGTGCATACAGGAGGCAACCGATCGACGTTTCTGTCAATGACATCACTGAACATATCCTAGGGTGAGAATTTAAAAATCAGTTTTATTAGTGTGATGGGGCTTGGGGATATCTGTTTTTCTCATTGACACATTTAATAGTTCTCACATTGTTTTTACATTGTAACATTTCTAACAGTTTTCGATGGTATACAAGTATGTGTTTCATAATATGATTTCTGTTAGGATTTACTGCGACTTTTGGTAAGCTCATGCACAGCAGCGTTTCAGTCTGATGAGGCTGGTACAGAAAGGTGTGCAGATGGTGTGGAAGGAAGGGGGAAGTGGTGAGTGACTCAGGACAGGCACAGACAGGATGGTAGGGATGCCGAGGAGGCAGACGTGCCTTCCTGCACGAGAAGCCAGAACCCATGGTTTGTCGTAGCACCGCCTGCCGTCTGTCAAAAGTGTTTTATGGCCACACATAGCTTGAAAAGGCAATTTTGAAAATATTTCTGTAATATTGGTCGTTTACCTAATTAGCATTAACTTTATAAAAGTGAAATTATGCCAGTAATTTGAGTCTGATTTCAGTCTCTTTAGGATCGTAGCTTAAACTTCAGGAACGGCCCTTGTAACTTAATTCTCAGTGGTGAGCCTCCTATTTCTGTGGTTTTCCTTAATTATCTCACTCCATGTGTCAGCATGCTGGCAGCTGGACCGAGCACGGCCGTAAGCGAAACTGTCTGGACTGCACGCTTTATTTCCACGTCATTAAGCTCTGAGTCGTACTTCCCTCGATCCAGTTTTATGTTCCCTTCACAATAAATCTTTTCCCGTGGTGGCGTTACTGCTTCTCTAACCGTCAGCTGCTCACAGTGCCCACACTCCTCTAATTACAGGGCGGTGCTTAGTTTAAATTCCATTTTCAGCAGATAGCGAATGTGTTCTGTTTAATAATGTGTGTGTGAGCACAGTGTCCACTTCAGATGTTGTTATACCGTGGTTAGACCTGTATGGAACAGTTTTGCAGTCGACTGCTTCCAGCCGCTCTCGTGTTAAGTCGCATTTAGAAAATAGTTTCCAGGTTGCAGAAAGCTGGTTTTTTAGATGATGACACATTTGTCATTTGGAACATGTTGACTTTCTCATGTTCCTCTGTCTTTGATGCTCTCACTTGATATGATTTACTCAGCCAGGAGTGGAGAGTAAAGACTAGACTTGGAGTTTACATTTATTTTGAGTTAGAATGGTTGTGGAATATTTGTTTATGATTTTGAATCTGCGTTGCCTGTTGGGGTCTAATTTTTTATATAACAAGTATTTTTTTATCCTGAGTATGAATTATACATATTCGTCATAGGGAATTTGAAACATACAGAAAAACAGAAGATTATGAAACACCTATGGATCCGAAATGGCTAAGATGTTAATATAGAGCATTCTCTTTAGAGCGTTTCTGTACATTCCTGTCAGACTGTTATTCCTTGTATGCACATGTTTACATCTGTTAAAACTGGGATACTATTTGGGGGCCTTTTTAATTTTAAAATACTGTAAACACTTTTCATGGTTTTAAATAATCACTGGGAATCGTTTCACTGATCACAGATCCTGTTCAGTGCAGGTGCCCGTATCCATTAACTGGTCCTTAGTTGCCGGGCACAGTTTCCCCTTTTTTGCTATTATTTCGGTTGATTAATAGTTTCTCTGCATAGACTATGGCTTTTGGAATGACAGTGCTTTCTGTTGGTGGGGCTCACGTAGTCTCCCGTCTGCGAAGAGCAGGGATCTCTGTCGGCTGCCGTGACTGAACGTTCCTCCAGAGTGTGTTCTGTTTGGCTTTGTAGAGATTCTGAAAGTCGTCGTCGAGATGTTTCTGCCTCATATGAACCTCCTGGCACTGGAGCAGACTTTCTTTTCACAAGTGCTCCCCAAGGTACAGTTACCTGAGTCGGCATACGGGCCACAGAGGCGGTTGGAATCCAGCCTCTGCTTCAGAGTGTTCCCAGCTGCGGTTCTGTTTTTAATGTATGAGCCATACTTGTCATTCCAATAAAGTAGTAAAAAATGGATCTCGTGTGAGAATATGGTGGTGTTGGAGTAATTAGGTGATTAAAAAGTTTTACATTTTCAGATAGTAGGGATCCTTTACTCATTGAATTTAAATTATTTGTAGTTAATTTTAAGTGCTCTTATATTTTAATGCTATTAAGTGAAAATTTGGGTTGGTGATAAAGTTAGCAAGTCCCTTTCGTGTGTCTTTTTTGTACCATTTACTAGTAATTGTTATCTTTTTAAAGAGACTATATTGCATGCAGAATTACTATAAATATTGATAATATACAAGGTTGGGCAGAAGTAGGTTTACCGTATGGAAGATAATACAGTAATTAACAAGTAATGATACAAGAATAAGCTGTTTCACATATTCACAACTATAACCCTACTTTTATACCACCTTGTATGTTTTATATGTAACATTATATATTTTAAACTAAATTAGGTGTAATTGGTAAGCTAGACAAATAAAAATCATCTGATTTTTTAAAAAGTTATCTTTCCTTTTCTAGTGATTTCTGTTCCTACTAATAACCTCCTTTGTATTTACAGACTGTGAAATTATTTGATGACATGATGTTTGAGTTAACCAGTCAAGCCAGAGAACTGTCCAGCCAAAACTTGGAAGCCCAGAGCTGTCTGAGGAGCACTTTACAAGTGAGTCAGGTGTCGGGACAGGAGGGGCGGAGGCAGCACCGAGCGTGAGGATCTTTGTGCTGATGTCAGTTCGCCTGTTTCCGGTGCACGGTGGCCGGTGCCGGGAGGCTCACTTACAGAATTAAAGGTGTGAGTGCAGAAACCTGAATTCTGGATTTTTTGTACAACTTCATGCTGAGTACACACCCAGACTCTTTAAGGATGGCAAGGAGTGGAGAGCACATGCCCTGCCTGTGGTTCCTGAGCACGTGGGCAGGGTGCCAAGTGCAGTTTTTGACGTGTGGGTGAGGATCCCAGCTCTCTCCTCTTTCACCACGTGGCTGGCTGGTTGCTCTGCGACCTGAGTAACAGAGGGCCCGTTTCATTCACAGCTCCCATCTCCAGCACCCAGCCCGCCCACTTTCCGTGGTGCAGCAAACATGTTCTGAGTTACCTTCCTCTCCTGTTCTCAGACCATGGTGCAGGTCCTAGGAGCTCTTACAGGGTGTGTGCAGCGTGTCTGCGCCTTGCAGGGGTCCGTCGTTCTCAGCGACGTCCAGAGTCTGCCCTCCTCGGTCCTGCACGTGGTCAGAAGTACCTTTGTGCACTGCAAGGTGAGCATCGGGTCCGGGTACACTCTAAATGGCCTAGAACCCGAGGGCAGAGGGGCTGAGTACATGGTCTTGGTACGTAAGAGTATGCACTTGAGTCCACATTATTGGAATAGACTTTGCCACAGAACTAGAAGCATGCATGTGCATATTGTTAAAATAGTTATAAAGAAGTGATAAAAGCAGCCTCTTGTCTTTGGTTTGTCTTATCCTGTTTCCTCTCTACGAAGAAAGAAGTGATAGAATTTGTTTAGTCACAAGGATCCTGAAATAGTTCTGTGATGACGTTGGTGAAAGGGATGAATTCCTTAATGAGCGGGTTCCTGTGCAGGGTCAGGAACCCTTGTTTGGTTCCTTTCTCTGTCCCTGAGGCAGCTTGAAGGCACAAAAGCTGTGGGCCATTTTGATGCTGCCGTGTGTTAGCTGACACCCCTCTTTGGTGATGGGGACGCACTATCATGCACCTGACCCAAGGTCCTTCACCCCCGTTTCAGCGCTGCCCTTGCAGGGTCTGGGAAGTCACTTCCTTTGGTGCCAGCTTGCTTCTCTTGAAGGGCACTGTATTTAACGGGAGTTCTTGAAACCTTTGTTCCATGTACAAATATGTGATTCGGTGGAAAGCATGAATTTGTGATCTCTGGTGGTACAAGTGAGAGTGAATTTGGCTTTTGAGCTTTTCATGATTTTTCTTTCCTTCTCTCATTTGAGCAGAACAGTGAGTCTGTGTATTCTGGGCGCTTACACCTCGTTTCAGACCTTCTCCAGGCTCTTTTCAAGGAGGCCTATTCTCTTCAAAAGCAGCTGATGGAACTGCTGGACATGGTGCGCACGGACCCTGCTGGTGACGAGGAGGGTGGCGCTCTGGACATGGTGATCGGTGAGTGAGGAGGGTGCTGCATGCCAACGTGAATGGTTGTCGTTACACACCCAAGCCACCGTTGTTTGCAGTGACTTGGCGCCTCCGCGTGTAAGATAAACCCTGCTGTGTAAATGTTTGGCCTTTAAGTCTTAGAGTTTAAATTTGCTATTTGATGCCCAGCATTGGCGTTGTGCTTTCAGATGATGTTCATAGTAGGTAGTTGCCCTCCAGTGATCACAGAGAGAGGTCTGCTGCGTCATCACAGTCGCACATGGGCCGCAGGGGTTCCAGAGCCATGGCCCGCAGGGGAGGGCAGTGTGCAGGCCCCTCTCGGAACACACAGAATCACCTGTGCCTGTGTGTGTGTCCGTGTGTGCACAGCACGTCACTGACTGTACGTGATTACCCAGGGCAGACTCCGTGATGTTCTGTGTCATGTTTGAAGAGCTGACTTCCCTCAGGAGCGGGCCGCGGCCCCCAGATTGGGGAGCTGTGTCGGCACCCCTCACTTCACTGTGAGGGGAAGCTGGTTCGGTGCGGGGTATTAGGTGCCCTTGTCTCTGCAGCAAACCTTCTCCAAACCTGGGGATTAGAACAACCACTGCTTTACTGACCCGTGGTTCGGTGAGCCAGCAGCTGGGCTGGGCTCCACTGGGACGGTGGTCCCTGCTCCACATGGCAGGGGGCTCCCTCGTGTGTGGGGTCCGTGGCCTCACTCAGTCTGGCCGTGGGAAGATGCAGGAGCACCGAGCCCCCTGTTGCAGTGAGTCCTCCAGCAGGGGGACTGGCTGGGCTCCGCCGCCTGGTGTGGCCTCGGGGTTTCTGAGAGCAGCAAGGGAGGGCAAGCCCCACGGATGCGCACTCTCAGGTCTCTGCTTGCCTTCCAGTTGTCACTGTCCCCGTGGACCAGAGCAGGTCGTGCGGCTAAGCCTAGAGCCCAGGGTGTGGTGTGGAAGGGCACCGCCCGAGAGTGTGGGCCCAGAGGGGAAGCCGCCGTAGCCATTTCTCTCAGTGTTCCGCCGCAGACAGCGTAGACGCCTTGCATGAGAACTGTGCAGATTAGTGCTAATTTTTCCTCGTTATGTTCTCTTGCCTTAGGTTCTTTTTGTCATTTTTGAGTAGAATTCCGCAAAGAGAATATCTCAGTTAGAACAGGGTACGACTTTATGCCCCTCAACATTTTCATTTTATTTAGGTCATGGGGTATTTGCAAACTTCAGCTGTTCCATAATTTATAAAAACCTTTAAAAGTGGGACACTTATCCAATTATTTGGACACCACTTTTGCAAACTGCCTCACCTGCTTTAGCAAACGTCTGGCTGTTGGGTAGACACTCTAAGCACAGGTGAGACTGCGGACACCGGGAGGTTCTGAGTGTTCTGTCGTCTCTCTTCGCAGTCATTCACTCGCTGCTGGACATCTGCTCTGTCATTTCCAGTATGGACCATGCATTTCATGCCAACACTTGGAAATGTATAATTAAGTAAGTGTTTTGTTTTTACTTTTTGTAATTTTCTGTGTCTCAAATCTTAATTTTTCATGTCAGACTGCATTTAAAACCTCTTCTGTGGGTGTATGAACCGTTCACTGGCTCTGCTGTCTGGTAGCCCAGGTAACCCCACACGTAGCTTCCAGAGCAAACTGTACTTCACCCTGCTGCCTCCAAAATTAAAAGTTCTCCCCAGTGAGCTGGTAATTCCGAATGATTGGACCACGGTTGGGCTAGACTCGAACCACTTGCCTGCTGCCACTGCTGTTGAAGAGACTATTATGCATCCCATTTCCAGGCTTAGATAAATTAGTAATTACAGTTAGAGCTGAGTATAATCCCTTCATTATGAGCTTTTGAGTCATTCATCTCTCATTGCCTTTACAGAGTGGCTTTGACTGGAGCATTGTGAAGGGTCACTAGGGAGAGTGCCCTCAGTGTTCATCAGTTTCCGGGGGGGCGGGGGATACACAGTCAAGGTGCAGACATGGGCGGGCACCCCCAGTTCACACACACGCATGGCCCATGAAAGGTCAGTGTAGTAGCACTTCCGTAGCTCGCAAAGTCGCCACCAGGTAATGGTGTGGTGGTGGGGATTGTCAGCTCAGAGCCCCCCGGCATGTCGCTTGGTTTGTTCTGAAGTGACTGGCCCTCTCAGCACTCGGGTGGTTTGGGAAACTTCTCTGCACCTTAGTTTGCTCATCTGGAAATAGGAGCAGTGGCTATGGCACTTTTACGGTGGGTTCTAGTGAGAGTTCAGTTCCCCAAGGTGAGATGCTTTGAAGGGGCCATGGCACATAGTAAGTGCTCAGTGAATTAGTTGTGTTACCGTCACCATCATCCCTGTCACGTCACCACCTTCACCACCACCCACCACTGTCACCACCACCCACCATCCTCACTGTCACCGCCATCCTCACTGTCACATCACCACCATCCTCACCATCACCACCACCATCACCACTGTCACCACCATCTTCACTATTACCACCCACCATCACCATCACCATCAATATCTTCCACTCTCAACCCCTTCTTAAATCACTACTACCCAGCATTCAGACTATTGTTTTAAAATGTAACCAGATAACCACTCGGCTGCTTAGAGTCCACCACGTTTTACTACGAGTAATGACTTAATAATCCTCCCTGGGCCCTGCCTTCTTCAGCAGCCTGTCTCTGCTGCCCTCCCTTGCTCTCAGTGCAGGGTGTCAGAAGTCATTTTCACGGGGGGCACATGGGCCTCGAGGTTGCCTTCCAAGGGCCAAATAACTCCAGGACTGTGTAGACGTGACTGCTCCTTGACTGTCAGGGAGTTGAAACTACACTCGGCCTTTGCAGGCAACTGCGCGGCTGGTGTGCCCCCCGTGAAGGTGGGTCTGACACCCCCGACTGACTTCCCCAGCGCACCGAACGCTCCTGTCCCGGAGCCTTGTCACAGCTTCTCCCTCTGCCAGGATGCTCCTCTTCATGTGTACGCCTTGCCGACCCCTGCACGTCTTTCAGTGCCAGCTTAACCCTGAGAATCCTGGTTGTGACATCACGTTCTCCCTCACGCTGGCCCGCGTGCTCTGTGGACAGGGCAGAGGCTGTCTCCCTTCGCCTATGCTCCCAGAGCCCAGCAGAGACTGGCACCTTTTGCATGGAGGAATTTAAAAAAAACAGCAACTTAAACTAACGTAGCTGCTTCCCGGGTAAAGGTGACACATCTTAACAGTGGCATGTCTCATATGTGTGCGCTGAGATGTTTGTCATGCTCCTTCATCATGGTTTTACCGACCGAAGTTCCCCGATGTGCTGCTCGTGGTGACCGCTCTTTTCTCTGTGATCCTCAGGCAGAGCCTGAAGCACCAGGCGGGTGTCAAGAGCCAGCTGAGGCACAGAGACATCGTCACCAGCTTGTGCGAGGACACCCTGTGCTCCTTCCAGGCCTGCCTGCAGCTAGCGGAGCAGTCGGCCCAGGCAGGGGCGCAGGTACGGGCTCTGCCACAGCACTTGCTTCCCAGCTGCTGAGCCGCACCGGGCTCTGCGGGGCACTGCACTCGAAGGGTTTTACTGTGTTTCAGTCGTGTTTGCCTGTCTCCGTCTGTGAGGTGGGATTACGGCCCGTCATCACTTTAACCCAGAACGTGGCGGTAGATGCCTCTCTGCTCTCATTCCCCCGATAGTCTGCCCGTCTGTCCTCATTCTGGACTAACCGGTTGGCCCAGGCCTTCTCGCCATCCTTTCATTCTTCTCCCCCAAAACACAAGTCCGACGCTTCAGCCCTGTGCTTGTTTACGACCGTCTTGATGGGACCACACCCGGCCTTTCTTCACTGACCCAGTGCAGCCGCAGTGACGCAACATGCAACTCTGTGTGTGTGTCTGTGTGTGTGCGTGCGCACTTGTGTGTTTTCTAAGGTAGATGTGAACTTGCATTTACTTTGCAAAGAATTACAGTGTTGAATTGGCTTCCCATTTATGAATCATCATAGTCTAAAAATTTATTTCTAACATGCTTACAGGGAATTGTTCATTTTCCAATGACAGTGTTACACATGGTGCCTTTTGTTGTCAGACAAGCCCTTTAAACTTATTTAACTCATAAAGCCCTACGTTATAGAGCTAATAGTACTCAGGACAGAACAGTTGCATATCTCAGTGGGAAAGGAGTCAAAGACTTCTCTGAGTGTGACTGTAACACGCTCCTCCTGCTGGAGACCTGCCGGCTGCCAGGGGAGCCCTTTGTGTCCCTGTCCTCCTGCCAAAGCCTTGAGAGGGAAAGAGGAGGGAGGACTTGCTGCTGAGGAGGTGAGGGCTAGCTCAGGAAGGGACTGGACTTTCCCCTCCTGCCTCTTTTTTCTCTTACCTGTCCTCCCCTTACTCCCCATCTCTCTCTCCCCTTTTCCTTCTGTCCTCCGGTTTCCTCCCTGTGCACTTTGTGGTTCCCCTTGACCTTGCTGAAAGGAGGTGTTGGTTGGTTGGCCCACCTGCTGTGGCAGGAGGGTCGGCAGGAGGGTCGTTGGCTCCTGACCTCTCTGGCACATCTGTATCCTCGGCCCCGGCCCCGTCTCCCCAGCTCCTTCTCTCTTTCCCTGACACCACCTCGCCCAGCTAGTTCAGGTGGCAGAGTAGGGGGGGCGTGGAAAGCCCAGGTACCAGCACAGTCAGCCGTAGGAGGGAAAGAAGGCCAGAGGGTGCCTGGCAGGGTGGCAGTCTGTACTAGGTACACAAGTTCACTTCTTACCACCTGTTTGCAGGTGAAAATCAGAGAATTAACAAAGTGAACTATCCTAACTTCCAAGCCGATTTTCACGTTCTTCCTTATTTGTGAACGTTTGGGACTGACAGCTTGACCATCTCTACTCACTGTCCCTGGTGGAAATGGAGCTTTGCTGTGTTCTTTGCAGCGGCTCCATTCGTTAAATGCTGACCGGCAGCGCCCTCTGCTGTTCACTCTTGGTATTTCTTGAGGGATCAAAGTTTTCCAAGTGCCAGTGTTTTCATATCTAAATAAAACCACTAGGCTTAATTGGTTGTATGCTATTAACAGAAGGGTCATGGGTCCGTCAGCCCCTGTTTTTACTTACCGGGCTGCCACAGCAAACGACCTTGAACGCGGTGGCCGGGCCCAGGTGAAAAGGCAGACCTCTGCTCCCTCACTGCCCTGCAGGGTGGATGCCTTAGAGGCGTCAGCAGGGCCTTGCTCCTAGAGTCTGGGGTGGGTGTGCTCCGCACCCGCTGCTCAGCTTCCGGTGTGGCTGACGTTCTGGGTGACCCCGGCCTCCACTTCCCTCGTCACGCGTGGGGTCTCCCTGTGCCTTCCCATGGTCCTCGCTGGGGACCCAGCCGACTGGATCTGGGCCCGTCCCACTCCCCACCTTCACGCAGCAGCTCTGCGGTGCCCGAGCTTCCCCTCCAGCCACGTTCTGTGGTGTTGGGTGAGGACTTCCGCACATCTGGGGACGTCGTCAGTCCGTAACAGGAGACTGACACGGTTCTGCTGTCTGCTGAGTCCTGACAGTGCCTTCTGAATGGGGGTGTTGTGTCGGACTCAGCATCTGGCCTTTTTCCCGTTTGGTCCCTCCTCCCTCCAGCGTGTAGTCTTTCATCTACCAGCCGTTTCGTTTTTCTGTGGCCATAGGGAGATTCATTTGGAAGGCTCTTTGATACAAATTTTCACTGCAATTCTTACCTTTGTTTACAGATTGCTTTCAGAAATTTTATTCTGAGAGCGAACATGCTTTCGTGTTTGGTGCCTACCGGAGCTTCATGGCCTGCTGCGTGTTGTTCGCAGTGTTTCTCTTGTCTCGTGTACAGAAAGGGAGCACGGGTGCTCTGTCTCCTGAGACACTGCGTGATGACCTTCCTTGGCTGCGCCCCGGCTCTTCCGTGCTGGCCCTGGGGTGTCGCTCTCTGGTCACACAGCTCAGGGAGCCGTGGAGGGGCAGGGCTCGTGCCCTGCTCCCGCTTCTGGGAGAAGTCAGGATGAAAGCAGCCTGCTTCGCCCTGGGACTGCCGCCTCCCATTGCCGTTTCGCGGGTCATGCTTTTCCTGGGCTGCGAGGCTTCGCTGCCGCCCGTCCGCACGGCGCGTGGGGCGTCTTTGTCCCTGCCGTGTTCTGATCAACCCAGAAGGTTCACCTCTCGTGCCGTTACATATGAAAGTTCATTTTCAGTAACATAGAGTTTAGTTTTTTGAATCTCTGTCATCATTTGGCATTTGTATTGCTCCCAGCAATTCAGAATAGAATTATGTTTTCTTGGAAATGTTTATACTCTAAGGGTGTTTTAAGAGATCTTTATAGAAAATGTTCTCATTTACAAATTAAGCTAATTTTAGATATTTTTATTTATTATGCTTTCTTCCTTTTTTTGAAACAGGATAGTGCCGACTATAAATTATTTCAAAAAACACTCAAATTATGTCGTTTCTTTGTCAACTCTCTCCTGCACTATATTAAGGTAAGGCTGATTTTTTATAATGCGTAAATGTGAATAAACTGAATTATCATGTTTGTATCATTCCTGCTAAGAGCAGTCTTATGAAGTTATTTTGTCAAGAGTATATTTTTTGGGTACTTATTTATCTTTTTGTTTAGTATTGTCAATTGTTACATATTGAGCATCTGATACTATTTAAGTGGCTACCATCACTGTTAATTGTTCAGTTATCTGAAAAAGCTATTTAATATAAATGTAGATAAGATTTCTGTAAGCGCAAATCAGTTTTCAGAAGATAATTCTATTTGTCTTCAAATACTGTGTGGTGTTCAAATCTGTAAAACTGTGGAGTAACGTTAAGAAAACCTGCGTGTCGAGGGTCTCCCGGGGAGCAGGGATGGTTGAGGGTGTGCGAGGAGAGCGGCTGGTGGCTCTGGGAAAAGACGATTCGTATAGAGAGGTGAGCAGAGCGCTCGCGGCCGTCACTGAGAGGAGCATCCGAGAAGTGGGTGTTAGCGATTAAAAAACAGGACGGCCATCCACAAGAACCTGTCTTTGGTCCTGCCCTGCACTGTGAGGAGCAGGCAGGCTCTCCAGTGACTGCTGACCGTGGTCAGTGCGGTTGGTGGCCAGCTCACTGGCTGCTGCAGCAGCTCCGTCGGTGCACATGCTGCCTGCCGGGGGCCCTGGCAGCTGCTGTTCTCTCCAGTCGGCCGCTCTCACCAGTCACCGGGTGTGTTTAGGTGGCAGTGCCCAGCCTGGATGGCAGTGTGCGGGCAGTTACCCGCCTAAGGGTTCCTTGGTGTGTAGCAGGCGAAAGTGCTCTGAACGACGCCACTGTAAGAAAACACAAACCTGTTTTCCAATTACAGTTGACAGGGAATGTCATGGTGCATTGGCGTGGTGACCAGACACTCACACCCCTTACGCAGTGACCCCGCAGCGCAGCCCAGTCTGGTGCCACGTGGCTGGTCAGCAGGTGCTCCTGAGCGCACTCCCATCTGGGCCTTCCAGCCCGGTGGCTGCTTTTGTGAGTGCCAGTTTGCACTTACTGAATTCTTTGGACTGGAAGACGTACCAGACCACAAGACGCACCTAGGTTTTAGCGGAGGGAAGTATGGCAGAAAATTTTGAGGCAAAAATGTGGTAAAATATTTAATAACATAAATAACATAGGCTGCCACCCCCTGCCCCCATCCCTTACAGCGAGCCAGGTAAGCTACATTCGGACTATAAGATGCACCCCCATGTCCCTCCAAATCTGGGGGGAAAGTGTGTCTCATAGTCCGAAGACTGCGATAGTTCCTGCCTTCCTGCCCGTCCCACCAACCTCTCCCATCTGGCAGCCATCAAAATGTTTTTGGGGTCTGTGAGTCTGTTTCTGTTCAGATGGTTCATTTAGTTTGTTTTCTTAGATTTCACATGGAAGTTAAATTGGCATTTGTCTTCCTCTGTCTGATTCATTTCACTTTGCGCAGTTTGCTCTAAGGCATCTGTGTTGGCACGGATAGCAAGACCCCACTCACCTCTTGGCTGCGCAGCACTCGGGGCAGCTCTGTGCCATGGCCTCTTGTGCACTTGCCTGTCAGTGGGCCCTCGGGCTGCTCCCATCACTGTGCCATCGAGGGAAAGGAGCATCGATGTGAGGGAGAGACCTTGACCGGTTGCCCTTTTTATGCACCAAACCTGCAGCCTAGGCCTGTGCCCTGACTGGGAATGGGACCTGCCACCTTCTGGTTTGCGGGACGATACCCACCCAGCTGAGCCCCACCGGCCAGGCCTGTTATGTTTCATATGAACAACTATAAACCTGCTTCTGCCCCACCCAGTATTTGGCACCAGCTGCCTGCTCTGGCACTGTGGGCGAGACAAAGGAACACTGATGCCTGCCAGAGAGCCCCTGACCTCTCTCCCTGCCGTCGTGCTCTGAAGTGAGTCACTTCAGTTCCTCCCTGTCTGTCCCCGGCCCTGGCACCTGCTACTCGGCTGCTGCCTCTGCCCTGGCTTCCGGAGTGAGTGAGCCTGTGTTCGGGCGAGGGAGTCTTTCGGGGGGAATGCCTTGGCCCCCAGCAGCCTTCGTCTTACTTGGGTACAGTCCCCTCTGGTTTGTGTCCGGATGTTACAGGGACTCCTCTTTCTGGCATTGATGCCCTTGGGCAGGGAGCTGGGTGTGGAGCTGGGACCCTCCGCTCCTCAGGGGGGACCTTCGCAGCCGAGGTGTCCCTCCTGGTGCTCTCCCAGCACAGGTGGGTGCAGGACCTGGCGGTTGCGTCTCTGCCCCTACCAGTCTCTGCGTGGCTCTTCCTTAGATCCTTAGCTCTTGGAGACCAGCTCAGCTCGGCCCCAGGTGGTCCTTCCTGGCGGTGGCTTCATGATTTAGTTGTGATTTTGACCTGGTCCAGGGAGGAGGTGGCACAGCGCAGGTCACTTCTATGCCGCCATCCTGACCTGGAAACCCTCGTTATACCATTTTTTAAATCAGTTCTTTTCTACCCGGGAATTTTTAATTTTTAAAACTTCATCATCAACTTTTTTTCTATGTCCTAACAATAAAGACAGTTTCTTTTACTTTCTGAGAGACAGCCTACCGTAATGGGGGTGGGGGCGAGGCCCGGCCTTGCTGGTGCTCAGGTGTGCAACTGGACTGCGGTGCTGGACACCCTCCTGGCCCCGCTCTCTGTGCTCCAGCAGCATGGCTGGGGTGTGAGGGGCCGGGACCATGCGACCCAACGGCACGAAGGCTCTCGCAGTGTCGCCCGAGCACGAAGTGGGGGCCATGCACGGAGAGTTCTGGTGACACTTTTAACGGGACTTTCAGGTGCTTAGCTTCATCCTCCTCATTCTCATGCAAGATTTTTTAAAATGTGGCGCGTCCAGGGTAGTGTTTCATTGTTTGCATGCGTTTGTGAGAGGATGTGTGTTGGTACGCTGTGTCTGGAGAGTGAATAGAGCTGTTCTGTTTCAGGAGTTTCTTCCCTTCCTCTCGGACTCCTGCTCTGCGCTGCACCAGCTGTACCTGCAGACGCACAGGTAAGAAGAATGCCGCGTCGCCACGCGAGCCAGGCAGAGACTGAATGTGTGTCCTTGTAAAGTGACACATCAGAGTCACTTCTTCCGGTGTTTCAGTGAATTTTTTACCTGTTTGATGAACATAGGTGGAAATGACAGGTTTTGAAAATAGATTCTGTGTGCGTTTGACATCTCTGTGGTCCGAACTAGGACCTGGTACCGAGTGAGGACGGCCCAGACGGTGACGCACACCCAAGGCCCGCAGAGGGGTCTGCACGCGCGTGTGCTTTCTGCCGGTGCGTCGCTGCCGGTCTGGGTTCGTTTCCATCTCACTGCTGCGAGACAGAGTCAGGTAGTAGGTGGCTCTACCTCAGAACAGTGGAGTTCCAGGGGGTGTCGATTCGGATCGAGGCTGACATTTGAGGTTGACGGCTACTCAGAAGAGCCCTCAGCCTGACACCGAAATGGTCTGTCACCTCACTCACCAGGTCCACTCTCTTCTTCCTCATTCACCCAGCTCCCTGACAGGGTCTGTGCACCACTCCCTGTCACCCTTTCCCTGCCACGTGTCCCCTGCTCCAGCACCTGCAGCCCCATTCCTCCTGCTCCTGGTCAGCCCTGTCCTCACCGTGTGTGCCCCGGGGGGGAGGCACGTGAAGGACAGTCTCTGAGAGCACATCCCGAACCTCACTCTCCTGTGATGCGCACCCTCTTCCCCGCCGCCTTCTTCCCGCGGGCAGGCAGGCCCAGGCTGCTCTCTTCCTGTCTGCAGAGCCACACAAAACTGTCTCAAAGGAGTGTCCTGCTGAAGACCCCTTCCCATTTCTGCCTCTGTTCACACTGGGACTGGAGGCCTCGTCTGGGTCCCCATCCCCACAGCTGCCCCTCGAATGCCACAGGTCGGAGCTGCGCAGGGCCGCTCCCACATGGGCTTTTTCCAGCAGGTGCTGCGAACGTATCTTGCTCGTGGTTTTCTTAATAACAAGTTCTTTTCTGTAGCTCGCTCCATTGTAAGGCTGCTTTACATACCACGCACAGTGGGAAAATTGGCATTAATCTGCTGCTCGTGTGCTGTCAGGGCTTCCGGTCAGCAGCAGGCCGGTTGCAGAGAAGTTCTCAGGTGTCTGAAACTATGGACTGTCTGGGGGTGGGTGTCCCTGTCCCTAACCCCTTCACTGCTCAGGGGTCACCGTGCTGCCTTTTTAAACCTGTTCCAGTCCACCTCTGCGTCCACCACTTCCCCAGGACGGCCCCGGTCAGGGCTGGCCGAGACTCCGTGCTGCTGCGTCCGGTGGGCAGTGCAGGCCTCGCAGCGTCACCCTGTCGGGTGCTCAGCCCTTCCTTTAGAACTCTGTCCCCTGACTTCCGGGACCTCCCTCCCTCCCGGTTCTCTTCTGGTCTCACTGGTGGCTCCTCCCCAGCAGGTGCCTCCCCTTTTCCCAGTTCTTTAGGGTGGGTCCCTGGCCCTCAGTCCTTGGGCCCCTTCTCTGTGGTCATTTTGTCTCAGGACCTTGCATTTCTCTCTCCTTGGGTGGATCTGCCAATCAGGGCGCGCACACTTACACTGACCCAAGCCAAGCTCTTGTTTCCTGCCGTGTCATCTCCATCTCCCTACCCTTCTTCCCACAGCCCAGACCGGCTCCTCTGGGGCTCCCTCCTTTCAGTTTCAGTGGCGGCTTCCTGCTTCCGACTGATCTGGTTCCACAGCCTGCCACCATCTTTAACGTTTTCCTCTGTTTGCGTCCCCCACATCCAGTTAATTAGCAGACTCTCTCAGGATCACCCTCAGTGTCAGTGTGTGTGTCCCCTGTGCATGCACAGGACCCAGCCACTGCTCCCTGCCGTACCTGTCCCCGTCCAGCCCTGTCTGCTTCCACCCCCGCCTTGCTCTCCTCTGTTCTCCGAGCAGTAGCCAGAGGGAGCGGTGGAACTTACCGAGACCGTGTGACTTCTGTGCAAACCCTCAGGTGCCTCCCATTCGCATGGAGTTCGGCAGAGCTTCCTGACCACCTTCCCTGCTGTGTTCTCTATGGCACGTGGCGACCTCTGCTCTGCTGTGAATTTACTTGCCCTCCTGTGTCTTAGCTGCCTCCCTTCATTAGCACAGGCACTCTGTAACGGTGGTGACTTTGTTAACTGCTATGTCCTGGAACAGAGCATGGCATACATGCACAGGCATTTGGTAAACGCTTGTCAAGTAAATAAACTAAAAATACATCACTTGCCCTGGCTGGTGTGGCTCAGTGGATTGAGCGTGGGCCTGTGAACAAAAGGATCGCAGTTCGATTCCCAGTCAGGGCACATGCCTGGGTTGCAGGCCAGGTTCCCACTTGGGTGCACAAAAGGCAACCACACATTGATGTTTCTCTCTCTCTTTCTCCCTTCCCCGCTCTCTAAAAATAAAATCTTTAAAAAATTTAAAAAATATATAATTTGATTGAGACATGAACCCTTGGGTGCTTCATAGCTGTGCTTCAAACCTAGAGTTGTTACCTGCATTTTGTCTGTTCTGCACCTCCCGAGTCACCAAACCCTCGGCTCCAGGGTGCAGTGTCACCAGCCAGGCAGCCGAGAGGCTCGGGGGCGGATGCAGGAGCCAAAGCCCCGCAGCCAGTGGTCGGTCAGCAGCGGTGCCTTTCTGTCGCAGCGCCGAGGCCCCCAGTGTCCGCTTCAGTGCGTCCTTTCAGATGTCACCGTCCCTGCAGGACAGGGTTCCCCAAGCACTGTCACCTGTCACGTGGCACCGATGCCGAACACACACCCTAGGTGCCGTGGGTTTTGATGGAAGTTGAGCGTAGCCCAGTCACTGAGGTGTTTCTCCACGAGACAGTCGCCCTCCCCGAGCAGGGTCCTGGCACGTTTAGACAACCTCTCGTAGGAGCGGTTACACCAGAATTCACCAGGAATATGTTTTTACACACTGTGTTTTTATTAGTTACTTAACTTCATGTTTTTACAGTACTTTTAAAAGACACCACTGGCAAAATGGTTTCATTAAAACGCATCAAAATAATCCAGAGATTTCACTAACATTCTAAACTTTCAATTTTGTGTTGAGTCATGTTGTTGCTAATTCTGAGTTCTTTGTACGATTATGGTGTCAGCTCCGTAATCTGACTTGCGTTTTGTACAAGGCGTGCCACTTATTTTGTACGTTTTTTCATTGTTAGACGAACATTGGCGTGCAGTGCTCACTCCTCCTGAAGCCGCAAGTAGCTGTTAACATGCAAGTGTTTCCCTTTCCAGCAGGTGTCCCCCCAGCCTGTTCGCTGCCGGCCTCTCCAGCGCCCAGCAGGAGGAAGTGGTGGCTTCATTCCTGGTGACCCTGGACCCTCTCGTCACTCAGCTGCTTGCCTTCCAGCCTTTCGTGCACGTGGTTTTGGACAGTGAACCAGGTGGGCATCAAGGCCGAGTCAGTGTCTGAGCAGCTCCTACCGCCCATGACACGGTAGAGGCAGGGACACCTCCCTTATGTAGTCGTCCCTTTTTGAAGTTTCAGAATTTTTATTTAAAATGTCATGGATGTCTTTTTTCTTGGAACATATTTTTCATTTTGAAAACTGACACCTCTGACTTCTTTGGACATCACATCAGATCTCTGTGGAAAGCACGCCGTGTGTTGCTGCGTGGTGCCACGTGTTTCCACCGGCGGGCCGCGTGTGACGGGCGTGTCCTCCTTGCCCCGCAGAGCTGCCCTGCGAGCTGCAGTTCCCGCAGTGTCTGCTGCTGCTGGCCGTCGTGGACAAGCTGCCCTCTGAGCCCGAGCACGTGCAGGCGCTGTGGTGCGAGGGGAGCCGGGGCTCAGGAGCCGCGTCCAGGTAGCAGGCGTGCCGTTCACGTCCAGCTGTGTTACGGGTGGTTCGGAATGCCCCTTGTTTGGGAAGATGGTCAGATTAAGTGTTTTGTTGTGTCAGGTATTTTAGTTACTAACGGCGGTGCGCCTCGGGTGTGTGTTGCTGCTTTATCAAAGTGCACACATAGAAATGCATCTGTCTAGATGCTGAACGTACTTGGGCCTTGTTCACTGTCTCAGAACGTTTTCCCTCGCAGGGCTGTGCAGATCGAGCACACAGGTGGAGGCGGCTGGCAACGGGGGCAGGGAGGCAGGGGGGCTCTGGTGGGTGGGGGCCAGGCCCTGTCAGCTCCCTCCTGGGGTTGGGGAGCTCCCAGATCCAGCCTTCTCCCCTGGGTGATTGCCTCACTCTGACTGTCTCCTTCTTCTGGCCCCTTGTCTGGGCCACTGTCTCTTCGGCCTCCTGGAAGCCCAGCTCCAGCTTCCTGCTCTCCTGCCCGGGAAGGAAAGCTCTGACTCCGGCTCCTGGGCCAGGCCATGCTGTTCTGTCCCTGTGCCTCCTCCTCCATGGCCTCCTTTTGCTCCTTTCCCGCCAGACCTCTCGCTCACACGTGCCTTGTCCTCATGTGAACGCTGTCTTCTGTTTCTGAAGCTGATGTATTTTTAGTTGTTATTTAACTCCTCTGTGCCGATTTCCTTAACCACTTCGATCACAAAATAATCTCTCCCTGTCTGAGCTGATGTTCTATTTCATGTGTGCTCTCTAGCCCTTTAAATACCAAGTTTCTTGATGACTTTTGTCTTTGACTTTGAATAGCTTAGTACTATGTAAACACTTGGTAAATGATACCAAGTGTACCAGCAGATTCCTGTCCTTTAAGGAATTTCTCAAACAGTGAGAAAATTTCTCAAACAGTGCGTTTTATTTTTAGTACTCATGTCCGCATATTGGAAATGTGTACCCCTTGAGACACTTAGCTTTGCTAAGACAACCTGTAATATGTTGTATTATCGTTATTATACTTGCTCATTATTAACAGTGTTGGGTCCTTGTTCTCGATTTCCCCGCAGGACGTCTCTCCTCAGAGCGGTTTTCTGCAGTTTGGAGCAGTGTTCTGGGGAGCTCTCTTTGCCCGTTCGCTTACAGGGGGTGAAGGGCGAAGGGCGAGCCGAGGCTGCGGTCACCTTGTACCAGCATGTCTGTGTCCGCCTGTGCGCCTTTGTCGTTTCCCTGCACCCGTCACTGTTTCCTGAACTGGTAAGTGTGTTACTCGTGGGCTACGGGGGGGTCACTCGTTTGCCTCGCCCCCCACCCCCATCGACACTGATCTACACACAGAAGAAAGTGGGACCACGAACGCACGTGCTTTTTGACTGTCACTGCCCCGGCTCACACATCTGACCCTTGAACTCAGTTGAACTGCAGGAAGTGGTAATCCCAGCGTCTTACGCTGTCGACATGTAGTAGCTAGCTAAAATATTGGAGGACATATTTTGGGTGGGAAGGTATGGAAAGACTGTGAGGAGAGGAAAAATGAGAAGGTTTTACCTGAGTTTCATAAAGAAAAGAAGTAAACTGTAGTAGGCATGGCCAGGGCTCCTGTAGATCCTAGCTATAACACAGATTCTTTTTTTAATGGAATTGGATGAGAAAAGATGATGAGGAAATTCCAGGGGGAAAAACTGTTAGAAACTGCGTAAGTACCATTATGATTTAATACGTTGTACAGTGGGTAACTTCAGCCACGTGAAAAACTGGGCAGTTCAAGGCAGAGACAGGGTGGAGGCTCCTGTGTCACGGACGTCGTCGTAAAGACTTAGGGCTGCATACGGGGAGCGTCCTGGTAGCCCCAGTAATTGAGTGGCCACCGTGACCGCTGGCCCAGGGTCCCCACGGCCTGGCCCGGGGTTGGCCGTGGCCGGGGCTGAGCAGATGAGGAGGGGCTGGCGGGCAGCCCGGCTCGCTTGGGCTCTAGGAGGTGGAGCCTTTCCTCGGAGGGTCTCTGCTGCGCGTTCAGAAGCTGGTGTTGAGGGCAGCTGACCGTGGGCCCTGTGCCTCTCCCCAGGAAGTGGCCCTGCTGGACGCCGTGCTGAGTGCCAGCGTGATCGCCGCCCTGCTGGCTGTAGACGTGTGGTGCTTCCTGGCTCGGTACGACGTGCTTTTCTGGTCTGGGGGTGGGTTTGGGTTTGGAATGGCTGGCAGTGGAGGGTTTAGCTCTCATGGAGACATTCTGGCTGGGTAACCTGTTAGCAGGCCCCAGATGGGTTGGTTTCATGTCGGGATTGGGGCTGCCTCTCCTGGCTTTGGCTCATGCTGGTGAGCACTGTTTGTTCTGGATTGGGGTCTCCCTTGGCTGTGGAAACACCTGCAGTTTAGAATACTTAGTGCTTTATGGAAGTTCATCTTATTGCTTTCCGGAATACTTGTGTAAGTGATTGTGTCCTGACCGCCTCCCTTGCGTTGCAGGTATGGGACCGCTGAGCTCTGTGCACACCACGTCGCCCTGGTGGCTCGCCTGGTGAGTGGCACCCTAGGTCCAGCACGGCCCTGCCCCCACAGCTCCTCTGCAGGGAAGCTCACCTACACTGGTGAATGTCCAGCGCAGATATAGGTGGCGGCTGCAGCTTGGCAGGTGTGGATGTTGTTGAGAAAGATGTGCCAGAAACACTAAAATTGGGGAAATTGTCTCATGTTTTTAGGATTTTATAGAGCTTCGTTAGTTGATCTGGGAAAGGAAGGCTAGGTTCACTGAGCATAAATTTAGTCGGACGCAGAGCAGGACATCAGAGGAGAGTGAGCTGTGGTGTTGGTGGCCAAGGGCCTCCCTCCCTGCGACTCAGACCAGCTGCCCCTGGAGCTTCTGTGTCTCTCACTGCCCTTTGACCCCACCAGCCAGACCCCACCAGCTGCGTGAGGAAGAGTGTAACACCAAGTGACTGCCCCTCTGGCCGTCGGAAATGGAGATTCCAGAGTGGTGTTTTTAAGTATGATGACAGAGTTGTTTTCATTGTAACAAGAATCTGGTTCATGGAAGAAAAAAATTGAAATTAGGTTTACCTACAGTCTTAGCTTCCAGAAAGGGCTACTGTTGACACTTGGCATATAAAAGTTTGCTAAGGCTGCTCGTTGAGGCCAGCCAACCTCTCCCGTCTCTTCCTAGATAAAATCTTGCCCCGGCGACTGTTACCAGCTCACCAACCTGTCGATACTGCTGAGGCGCCTCTTCTTCTTCATGGCCCCATCCCATCAGGCAAGGACATCCTCACTGTCACTGTCTTCCATGGCTGCTCAGGAAGGGCCCCAACTCTGGTGAAGGCTCCCTCCGCCCCTGTGCATTCTGCATTTAAATGTTGGCAGGATCTGAGTAGATTTCATTGTGGCGATTGATTGCTTTGCTTGCTGCTTTTAGATGGGTTTAGATTTGGATGATGTTAAAGAAAAAACAGCTACACAGAGAAAGGAGACCTCAGCGTGTGCTGGCTCGGCGCTGCCTTCAGCTCGGACAGGTGCGGGCTCCGAGTCTCCCGGGGAGCAGGGACGGCAGTCTGGGGAGGGGCGGTGCTGGCTGAACCGATAGGGTAAGACCCCTGCTGCACGCAGACCGGAGGTCAGACGGAAGGTGAGGCATTGTTTCTAAACCACCTGCGAGGACTCCTGCTGGCCCAGCATGGGGGCGTAAGCCCAAGGTCAAGGCTCAGTGGAGCCAGACTCCAGTCCGTCGGTGTCTTTTCTGCAAGTTACAGATAATCATTCTGCTTCTGTCTCTCACCCCCTTTAACTGATTTGAAGAGCTGGGATATTACCTAAACCCTTAACGATGGCTCCCGTTTCACAGTAAACAAGGAGGGCGAAGATGGCTTTCGCAGTTTGTTGTGGGGAGACCGGTTCTGTGGTGCGGGTGGGTCGCAGCAGCTGGGCCTGGGAGCCTGGCAGCCCCTCGCCCGGGCCACTGGCGCTGCCTGTAGAAGGAGGAGCTCTCTGCACAGCCCGGGCCCCTGGGCCGCCCTCCGTGAGCAGAGTGGCTGTGGCGTGGGGGTGAAGTGAGGCTCGGCTCGTTTCTGTTGCACTGCTCGGTTCCTAGTGAATGTGACGTGGATGCGTGCCCGGGAGCAGCCCGGTTCGCCGAGGGGTCACAGACTGAGGCAGGGAGGCCAGGGGTCAGTGTGCAGGCCCTTGAAGTCCCGAGATAGGAGCCCAGACCTGCGCTAGTGACGCAGCGGGAACGTGAGAGAGCCGCGGTGCAGCAGTGTTTCACGTGGCGGGTGTCTGTGGCGGTAGTTCAGGGGACAGCGCCAGTGTGTCGGGAGATGACAGTGTGTTCACTGTTTCCGTGTGGAGAGCAGCGGTCGAACGCCTATTTCTTTCACTGTGTAACTGGGCACAGTGGCCCCGTTTTACAGAGACGAGCAAAGTACGAGGAGGTCACCCAAGGGGTGTGGGTTCAACCCACGGTGATGGCTGTGCTGCCACTTCAGTGGAAAGTAAGCGTCAAACGCGACTGTGTTTACTCGAGTTTCCAGCGCACAGGTGTGGTCTCGCCCTCAGTGCTGAGGAGGAAAGCCGGTTCCCGTGACGGCTGGGTCCCCAGGCCTGCGCCCGGCACCAGCTGCCTCGGTCTGCAGCGCGTGCGTGGCGCGACCAGAGCCTTCGAGCGCGGGGTGGTACGCGCATGAGTCGCTCTTTCTCTGTGACGTGTTTGGCCGCACATTCCCTTTTATGGTGTCCAAGGCATTGTTTTTATCGTTTCTATGCCGGGACTGGACACAGGCCTTTCGGCTTCCTGGACGCTGTTTGGTTTCGTGCGTGAGGCCGCTGGTGATGGCAGACATGCAGCTTGTGAGGTCGGGGCTCTGGCTCTTGCAGCTGCCCCAGAAAAGAGCCTCGTGACTTCCCCTCATTTTGACAGCTGCGTGTCTTCTGCAAACAAAGTAGGGTTCAAATACAAATGCAGAACATGGAGAAAGTTCTGTCCAATTAGTATGGCATGCTTTTTAAAGTTTTTGATGTAGGAGAATCATTCAACAGGCAGATTTTGGATACTGTAGTAAATTGGATGATTGTGCTTAAAAATGACATTAATGTACCCTAGTTGGATTACACTTAATTTAATTATTAAGTACACTGTTGTTTTTCCACCAGGAACTAATTTAACATTTTTAACTGCTTTTCAGAACTTTTGTTTTCCATTTTTTTGTCTGGTGTGTTGACTCATTTTAACAAGCAGCACCGGTTTCCCAGTGGCCTGTTGGGCACTGGGGACTGCTGCCTCGGCGACAGGAGGCCCTGGGTGACAGGATGCCCCCAGCTTCTTTAAGTTCTTGTCGCCATGTTTTAGAATATTACTTTTGACTTCACTGTGCAAGGTGACAAGTATGTAAAGTCCTAGCAAGTCGGTAGGTGTCCTGGGGCTCATACAACAGCCGACCTGGTTCACAGGATGCCCTTCCTGCGACCTGCTCAGTGTGTCCCTGTCATTCCCCTTCAGCTCTGGTGTTTCCTGGAGACAAACTCAACAACAGGAACAGTGTGCGCTCACTCCGGCTACTGTGGTCTGGTCCCTGTGACCACACCCTTGCCTGGAAGCTTCGGCAGCAGCAGTCGTGGGGGCCGCCGCGCTCTTCTCTGCAGCCACCCCCACTCTCGCAGGTCACTCACGTGTCCCTGACGATGTGTTTCAGGTGCAGTTTGTCCAGGAGTTTTCCCCGCAACGAGCAGAAAACCTGCCTCTCTGGCAGCACATTTCTTTCCAGGCCTTTCCCGCGGAGCTGAGGAAGCAGGCTGCTCAGGAGGTCGCCAGCGCCAGCGCCGCGCAGAGCAGGAGCTGGCTGGCTGGCAGTCGCACGGCCGAGGAGCGCGTGTCGCTGGCAAGTGATCTGCTCAATGGGTGGGGTTCTCTCGGTGGCGCTGGGCAGAGTCCCTACTGGGTCCCCGAGGGCCTGGGGGCTGCAGTGGTGAGGTGGGCACAGCCTCCGCCTCAGGCCTGGGCTCCCAGAGACCCCTGTGCTGCTCGAGTGGTGGCTGACGCTATGGGCGGGCGTCTGAGGCCCACCGTGGAGCACAGGGCGAACGCTCCATTTGCGGTGTTTTTGCTGACGTGCCGCTGGTCAGGCGCTGCCCTCTGCTTGGCAGGACACCACCCCTTGAGTGCAGACCCCCCGGGCCTTTGTGGGCCTTCCTGTTAGGGCACCCACCTCAGACAAGGGAGTACGAAAGAAGTCCGTCTGGCAGAAGCAGACGTGTGACTTTGAGAAACTGACCGACCACGGTCCATGGGGTTGGGGTTTCCACGTAGCGTTCATGTGCTCACTCGTTGGCCGACTGGGACACGCTGGGAGTGCTCGCCCTGTGCCGCCTGCCCTGCTCTGGCCCCAGCCCCTCGGGTGGCACCGGGCCCTGCTTGTGAGCACTTGCCTCCTGGCCAAGTCAGGCAGTGTAGTCGGTGAGGTGTGTGTGTCTGTCTGTCTGTTTGTCTGTGAGACACAGGCAGAAACCAGGCAGGGTGGGAGCAGGGCCTTCAAGGGCTCAGCGCACGGGTCCAGGGTTTTCACAGGGCAGACGTTTCGGTCCCGCACACAGATGCCCAGACGCTCGACTGTTGAATGGCACTTGACCACGGTTTTCTTAATTAAAACATTTACGTATATCCAAAGGAAATATTTGGGGCAACCATTAAATAGGAATAGGCTAAGTTGTTTAGCTTTTGCATTTTTTGGTGCACTAATTATTTAGTAAAGACAAAAAAATATGTGTTGGGCAAATAAAACCACCTAGTTTCTAAAATTGAATAAATCTTTGATGTATGACCAAAACTGTAGCTCAGCGGGTCCCTCACCCTGTCTGTCTGTAAAGGGACAGTGAGTGTGGTTGTTGGCATAGGATGGGGACAGGCCTGGTCACTGCCTTCCGGTTGCCCTCCTCCCCCGACTCCCCACCACCTTTCTGTTAGGGAAAATTCTTTTAATAAAAGTACACTTACATTAAAGCAACAGCTGAAAGTTGGCTTTGGGTCCATGTGGGGCTTGAGGAAGAGTCCTGAGTTCCTTGCAGCCGTAGGGACGTGGGCTCGGTGTCCGGGGCTGTGGCCACACTCGGTCCTCGCCTGTCCCCCAGGATGCGGCGCTGTCTGCCATGCTTGCCGTCTGCAGCTCTGCTGGCGACGCCCTGGAGGTCCGACAGCAGGCTGAGCTCGTGGAAGTCAGCAGTCAGCTCTGGGCTTCTCTGCACGGTCACCTGGTAAGGGGACCAGCGGTCGTCTCCCTGGGAACAGACACCGTATGGAACATGAGACTGGCACTGAAGCTGCCCTGCCGGGTGGGAGGGACCTCGTCTCCTCAGTGCCGGTCCAGCTGGTGGTGGCGCTGGTCTGTGCGTGCAGACAGTTCTCTTCGAAGTGGCTGCGTTGGGTCAGTGAAGTGGCAGCGGTCCAGCTGCCTGTGTCCATGACCAGTTGGACCCACTCACTGCCCCTGTTCTCTTCTCAGGGTCTTCGTATCTTTTGGGCTTGTAGGTGGAAGGGGCAGGTGTGGCCAGTTTGTGTCCTTTTCCCCAAAGACAAAGCCGGGGCTGGGCTAGAATTGGAGTGACAGGTGCCCCGCGGGCAACGGCAGTATGAAAACAGAGCTTAGGAATCTGAACGTGACGTTGGTTTGCTTTAACTAAGTAGAAATAAACGTCAGCCTCTGGCTGCCCTGCCGGCTGACACAGACCTGCTTTCAGGAAGTGCCGCCATGGCGTCGTGTGTGTTTCAGCCTGAGGAGCGTGTGCGTGTGTGTGGGTGGCAGGCCCCTGCGCTGCTGCTTCCCCAGCCCCACAGACCGCTCGCTCCGTGAGTGGCCACTTGAGCCTTGCTCTGCGGTGGCAGCGCGCCGGGCGTGAGAGGAAGGGTGGGGGAGAGGCGTGGGGTTTCACGACGACCCGGGGACACTCTGCTGCCTCCTGGCTGTGTGGTCGTGAGTGGTGTGCCCACCACCCTGTGCTCCTTATGCACCGCGCACTGGCTGCACCGGGGAGGCAGCAGACCCTGCCGCAGTGCGGGGTGCGTGCCTGTGCAAAGGTGCTGCGTGCGTGTGCCTGATAACTTGCACTGAAACTACTCTCTTTCTTATTCGAGGCATCGGGCCAACCCTCTGTTCAGCAGACTCTCAGCCTTTTACTTCCGCTGCTGGGGTTCTTCACCCAGAGTCTCGACCCTCAGCTGGTGAGTCAGGTAAGAGCAGCAGCAGGCTGGCCCTCCGTGGAGGAGGTTGTTGAACCGGTACCTAGACCTGAATTAACCCTCTAGAAACAGCCCTGACAATTCATTGTGCGGTTTGCTCGCTGCCCGCCTTGTTGAACTGCTCCGGGGATGTCTCCTCGTTCCCCCTTCTGGTAACGGGCTGCCCACTTGGCCCGTGCCTGCCCTTCCTCGCCTCCCTGGTGCGGAGTGGTCAGAGCTGGCTCCTTGCTGTTACTGCCCCGGGAGCCCCTGGGGTGGAGTCCCCGTTGAAGTGTGGTCCGCCCAAGGCCCAGCAGATAGGGAGAGATCCCACGGGGATGGAGGGCTTGTCCTTGTCATTTCTTTGTGGACGTTAAGTGACCCCGCCAAGTTTTCTCTCGGACCTCAGCCTGCATGGTGGGCCGGGCGGGACCAGGTCCCCTGTCAGGTGGCTGTGGGGCCTCGCTCCTCTGCCCCACTGGGGAGGTTCCAGGCTGATGGGGAAGAAGGGGAAAGGGCCTTTCTCCCGTCTGAAGTGTTTCGGAGGCTTCGGAAAGGTCAGACTGGACAGAGTGACCCCTGGAGCAAGGGCTGGCTTGTGTTTACGGTCACAGGAGTGACCCACAGGAAGCCAAGCTGCTTGGGGCTAAAACGGTTGCTATGTAGGAGGGCGGACGGAGTGGTAGGATGGGGCACGCTGGGTTTTAGTAGCTCTGGTGAGTGGTTGTGATGTGAAAAACTTAAATATTTGTTAAGTATTTTTTAATTGTATGTGTAACATTGATTATTAAATTACAGAGAATGAGAATATGGTAAAATAATTGACTCAATTTCTACAGATGTGACACTTTGAATTTGTTGATTTTGAAGGTTCGAGTATTTTTTATGAAAAATTAAATATTGATAATTTGACGTAATTGTGCCTGCCTTTAAAAAAGCCAAGTAACTATAAAGCTCTAGGTGTCAGCGTGAGCTGCCCATTCTCGGCCTGGCTCCCGGGATGGAGGGCGTTTTCTCCTCTCGCTCCTTCAAGTCAGGGCTGGAGCCCAAGGCCTCGTGGCTGGGTTCTGGCCCGTTGTCAGCACAGCCTCTGAGGGTGGTTTTTTCCCTAAAAGGCTTGTAAGGTGAAAAATAAAATAAAACAGGCAACAGGGAACATGTGGCCTGCCAGGCCTAAAACGTTGCCCCCGGCCCTTGGCCATTTACAGAGAACTTGCCGGTCCTGCTTGTGAGCACGAACTCGTCTCACTGGGACCTGGGACGCAGACGCGGGTCAGACTTCAGTGAAGGGCGCCCCGCGCCGTTTCCCACGCGCTGGGTTTGGTGGCCAGTGGGAGGATGCAGGGGACGACGCAGGTCACTTGCTTCGTTCGGGTCCCATGTCAGGACGCGGAGGGTTGGGCTCCTCTGGGGTTTGTTCTGCCTCCCTTCCCTGTCTCCAGCAAAACCCGAGAATAGTAACTGTCCCCTGGTCTGTGCTCTTCAGGTGGTGGCTTTGCAGGCCACGCTCCTCCAGCCAGAGCCCCCCGACCACGTGCGCCTGGCAGTCCTCGACTTTGTGGCGTCCCTGGGGACACTCCTGATCCCGCCAGCTCTCCAGGTGATGCTCCGAGTCCCGTGTTGTTCTTACCAAAGACTCCGTGAGGCCGCCGGGGGTTCTCGGGCGCCACGTTTCTTCAGTTCTGTGGATTGTCGACAGTGCGAATGGGGGCAGGGGGTTTTTTGAGAGCAGACGGTGACTTTGTCAAACCGGCACATTTTAAGTTATTTTCTTTTAGGAAAATGTTGACGTGCGGAGTTTGGCTGCAGCCTGGACTCTTGTTGGGCATCAGCACAAAACAAAGTGTGTGGTTAGAGGTTAGGTGACTCACCGAAGTTGCTCTTTTAGTTTTGTATGTGAACGGAGACTGGAAAGACACTAGTTTGAGAATGTGACCAAGGACACATGGTTGACAAATGGGTGCGTGTTCACACAACCCGCTGTGGGGGCCTGGCAGGCAGGTGCCTGTGTTGAGGGAGGCGCCGCCTGGAGCAGCCTGTGTACCTGCTGCTGTGGCCCCTGCGTCGACCGCAGAGTCAGCGCCCCCACCTCACGGGAGAGAGCTCTCTGTCGGGGGCCCTTGGGGTGAGGGGAGCAGAACCACGAGGCACGTTACAAGTTGATTAACACCTTTGCAACCCCCAGATTTACCTGGTTAGCTTCCAAAGGGCTTTATTTTTCACAGGTGAACGATATCAAACCATTATTTTCATCACGTGAAGTTGTTTTCATGAGATAAGGGTAGATGTTGAGTTTGTTTCAACTGTGTGTGCAAAACACCCACGGACGATGTGCATTTGAGCCCCAGTCACACCTCCGTTCTGGGCCCAGCTTACGGAGAACGTGCTCAGCCGTCTGACGGAAGCTCGGGTCTCAGTGGCTGCCCGACAGCCTGTCCCTGCCGACGCCTGTGGGGTCTGTCATGCGCCTCTCAGGTGACTGAGGAGATTCCGTTTTTGAATGGATTGCTTCTTAAACAGTTTTCCGGGATGGATTACGTTCAAGAACCAATGTTCCACTGTATTTTCTTTTAGCAAAGGAGTGTTTTCCAAATTGCTGCTGCTTTTGGACCCCATTGGGTCCAGAACCCTCAGAATAGATGTTTTTGTTAGCAGAAATGACCTCATATACTCCTAGGAATATACATATAGTCCCAGGAGTGAAGTCAAGTCCTGAAAAAATTTGGAGGATTCATCAGCAAATGAGAGGCATTTAAAACCATGCTGTAAGATTGAGTGGTGTGTTCATTTAGGAAGAAAAATTACTGAGTTTTCTGTATGTGTCAGGCACTGTTGCAATCACTGGGGATTCCGTAATGAACCCCCCCGCTCCCACCCCCCGCCCTGCTGAGAGGCCAGACCAGCAAGGTGGTGGCGTGCGGTCTGTGTCATGGCGGTGGGCACTGTGGCAAGCACGCGTGCACACGGGCACAGCTGAGTGGGAGGCGGCATGGCCCTTGGTGACGTGTGAGCGAGAAGTGGTCTGGGAACAGGCCACGCAGCATTTGGGACGGGCGTCTGCCACGCAGGGGGGAGGCCCGGACACAGGCTCCTTGTGGGGAGCTTGTCTGGTTCAGAGGGTGGAGGTGGTGGCCTGCCGGCCCGGGTGGGCCCGGTCCCTGGGCTTTCGCCGGGGGAGGTGGAAGGTGTGAGCAGAGGAGCTGGCGGCCAGCCTGCGTTGGAAAGGACGCTGCTCACGGGGACGGAATCACGGACCCCACGGGGGGGTGCTGCTGCCATGTCCTGCTGAGGTTTCCCCGGCTAAGGCCGGGTTCTCTCTGCAGGACCAGGTTCTGCCCACCTTGTCATCTGTGTTCGCCTTGCTGCTGGCCGACAGGAGCTGGCTGCTGGAGCAGCACGCCTTGGAGGCATTCATGCGGTTTGCCGAGGTAAGACCGTGGCCGGTGGAGTGTTTCAGTGTGCCGGTGTCCCCACCCCCCAGACACGGGTGACAAGCTGCTCCCGTACCAGAGCCAGAGAGTTTACTGCCGCAGGGAGTCCCTGAAAACAGGGCACCAAGAAGCGAGGCAACCTTGCATCGGGTCTGCTGACTCAGGTGGCCTCCCGACACTGTGCTGAGGTTGGGTGACAGTGTGTGTCGTCCTCAACCAGCCTGGGGTCAGGCTGCCAGACACAGCCCTGGTGGTCGGTGCCCTGGAGATGGTGGCCCTGCCGTGGGCCACGCCCTCCCTGTCACCCTGAGCTGTGCAGTTGCACCTCTGCTCCTGAGGGGGCCCAGGAACCTGGGGACAGCTGGGCAGTTGAGCTTAATAAGCTGTGTGCCCAGCCTAATGTGGTTTCTGTGCGGCACTGGAAAGTGCTGCAAGCTAATCATCCCGAGTATCTTGGAACCATTGTGTTTGAAAATGCACTTTTGATTAAGGTAGCTCTTAAAATGCAGGTATATGGCTTTGCAGCTTATTAAAGTACATTAAAATCAGTCATCAATTTTTAAACAGGGTACAAACCATGAAGAGATAGTCCCACAGTGCCTCAGTTCTGAAGAAGTGAAGAACAAAGTGGTATCTTTTTTGGAGAAGGTACTTATTTTATACAGAATCCGAAGAACGGTGTCACTCACTGATGTTTACGTTGCTACATTGTTAGCGACTGTGGTGCTGTAACCAGGCAGACTGTCTCTGCAGCCTGCGTTCGTGCTCACGCGTGCGGGTGGGAGCACACTGCGTGGCGTCCCGGGAGGCAGGCGCCTCTGGACTGACCACTCCTGGAGTCACGCTGCCTGGAGCAGCGAGGAGCCTCCTGAGGACGCTGACGAGAGTCTCGGGGAACTGGTGGGCCCGAGAGGCCCGTGTTTCCCACTGGGAGGCAGGTGTGACCCCGGTACGGCTCTGCTGCGCTGATAGAGACCAGGACCCACTTTTCCAAGTGTGGCCTTTGTCAGGCTGTTTTTACATTTGGAAGCCAGCCGTTAGAGCAAGGCTGCCACCCCCACACTCGTGCATCCTGGGACACTTCCACGGGGACAGGACGTAAGGTCAGGTGGAGTGAGACACGGGCAGAGGCGTGCGTGACGCCACCACGCGAGAACGTGCAGAGCGTGAATTCCAGCATCGTGCCCAGGAGAGGCCAGGCAGCCATACACGGGCCGATCGGCTTTGGGAGGGTCGCAGGCAGGTCCCGGGGGGCGTGACTGTGTTGACCTGGCCTCTGTGGTCTCTGGCAGACGGGGCTCGTCAGCGAGACGGCAGCTGCCAGAGTGGAGCGTGTGAAGCGGGAGAAGGGGGCTTTCCGGAAGTCCCTGGCGCAGGTCACGTTAGCAGGAGCCCCGTCGTCGCCTGCGCAGGTATGGACTGCGGGCACGGCCACGCCTTCAGAGGGGAGGCGCTGCCCTGTCACTCGAGAGAGAGCACTGCGAACTAGTGTCGTTCCTGAGCTCATTGAGTGTCAGGACAATCAGAGACTGAGACATGTAAAATTCTACCATTCTATAGTAGCTGCTGCTTTAAAAATCCTTTTCCTGAAAGGTTATGAACACAAAAAATAGGTGGACTATAGAAAAACAAGTTTCAGACACTGCATTACATGTGATGTGGACACGCCTGTTACGTGTAGTGACCTTGGCAGGCAGTGTGGCAGCCACCTGCGGCCACAGAAGAAAGTGGCCTAATCATTTTTGGCCGTGTCTAGAAATCACATCTGCCTATTAAAAGGCAGAAATCTGACACCATTAAGGGTATTTAAAATATTTTTTGGAGCACTGACAGTATATTTGGAATTGTAATCCCTAAGAACAATGTTGTAAGTTTTCCTAAGTTAATCTCTTGTCTTCAAGACTCTCAGCCTGAAGTCTGTGAGGTCAAACACTCCCTCAGTGGTGCCAGTCAGTCCTCGAGAATGTGGGATGTCCTTCCTCAGGGAGTTGGCCATCGGAAAGGGTGTCCTGGCCCTTTGCCCCCCACGTGGCGACGGCTTACTAACCTGGCTCCAAAAGCCCTGGAAGGGCCCTCCTCAGTTTTAGATGTAGCGTTGAAAAGTGAGACGCACTGAGAAACATTCACACTTGGGCTTTGGGGTAAGGTCGCCGTGTGTGTCCAAAGTCTCCTTGGCCCCTGGGCATGGAGGGCGCCAGGTCCCTGAATCACTGGGACAGATGAAAAATGCTTCCACCTTGTACTTTGTCAGGTGAGCCGGGATCGTGTGTGCTGTGCAGCTCCGCTCCGGTGCAGAAGGGGTGTACTCGGTCGGTTTGCAGACGGGTGTGGGGTGCCACTCTCTCCACTCATCAGCTCGCTCTCGCTCCACAGCCTCATGCAAAGAGAGCCCGCGGCGAGCCCCACCTGGAGGAGGAGTACCGGTCGGCACTGCGGGCTGCCACAGGGGCCCTGGAGGCCATCGAGTCCCTGCTGCGCAGGTCCCCGGCTCCACACTGGCTTCCCCGGGAGATGCAGCTGCTCCAGGAGAAGATGGGTGAGCTGAGGTGTCACGGGCTCGCAGGTGACCAGACTGAGCACATTGTGGCCTAGAGCCGCTGGGGAGGGTTGTGCCATTTCTACGTTTTGTAAATGAGAACATTGGTGTAATTACGTCTGTGCCTTTCTAGCCCAGAAAAAGACTTCTGCAGAGTTGAATCTAGAGAAAATAATCTTTATTGGACATTTACAGAGCAGGGTCACAGGGTCTGTCTCCGGGAAGGACTTGGGCGCACATAACACCACAGGTGGGAACGGTCACTACTGGCCCAGGTCCCTCAGGGAAACTGCAGATAAATAAGCTGCTTGAGGAGACTTCAGCAATTTAAAGTCACTTGTACCCTTTACAGCTACATTCTGTTCAGTATTCCTAGTAGAGTCAATTCTTTTCACTGCTACAGAAGTGGCACAGAGTTAATCAGCTCGAAGTTCTGCGTTTATGCTCTTCACTTCCAGGGTTGCCTGGCCTTAGAGGCACTGCCCCCTCCTTAGCGGAGGGCCCCCACCCGAGGCACCTCTGTTGGCACAGACGCAAAAGCCCTCGCCTTGAGAAAACAGGGTCCTGCGGGGTGTTCTTGTCTGCAGAGCCTGCTGTTGAGGTATTAGTTTGATTTCTCTTATAAAAAGGAACCCTTTTCCCTAGAGTTTCACTCACAGCCATTGTCACCAGCTGCCGTCTCCCCAGTTCAGCTCCCCTGCATCGCCCCAGCCTTCGGACTCCGCCTGCAACGACACAGCACAGCGTGGGCAGCCGAGGGGGCCGCGAGGCCAGGACACGCTTTCTAAGCTGCTTCTAATCCAGCAGAGCCAGAAATGACACCTTTTCCCTGGGTTAATGCACAAAGGTGGTCACTCTTGAGCGGCCTTGCTGAGCACTGGGCCCGCACAGCTGCTGCCTTTCCTGGGGAAGGAGTGGTGGCAATGAGAAGTGGCCCTGGCTCGCCTCTACTGTGCTGACCAGTTGTGCACCGTCGTCTAGCCTCTTGGCAGGAAGACGGCTGGGGATCTGTTAGGAAGGGGACAGGGCAGCTGGGACCCACCAGGCAGTCCTTACCTCAGCGGTGTCTGCCGCAGCGAACTTGGAGGAAAACTGCATCCCCGGGGAGGCGGCATCTTCAGGGGGGCCCACCGGTCCTGCCCTCAGCTCCGGTAGAATGAGAACAGTGGCTGAAGGCTTGATCTCGGGGGTCATGTCAGCAAACCAGTCCAACTCGGGGTCCTGCCCCGGCTTCTTTTTCACTTGAATGGTGAACTCCTCTCCTAATCCCCATTCTGAGGGGGCCTGGGGGTGCCTTTCCTGTGATGACCCCTTTGGTGGCTTGGCCTGCTCTGGGTGGTCCACGCTTGGGGCAGGGCTGGTCTTTGGGGGTCGGCTGGATGCCAGAAGCTCAGCCGCCTCTGTGAGCAGAGGCACCACTGTGGGCGGGGCCTGGAGCTCCCCCGGGGTGGCTGTAGTTCTGCCTCCTGGACTCTCTGCAGGGCCGGGGCTGCCACGTTCCAGGCCATTCTGGGTCCCTGCTGCCGCCTGCTCATCTTGGAGCAGGGACCTGGCAGCCTCCCCGGGCCCTGGAGGCCACGCCCGCGTGCTCGCAGTTCTGCTCTCCGGCTCCTCAGGCTCACTCCAGTCAGGCCACTCCTCAGATGCCTGGGGGCTTGGCGGGACGTCGCCACCACCCGTGGAGGTACTTTTTACGTCTGAAAGGCCATTCACAGGACAGTCTGTAGTCTGAGTAAACTGGTCACCTGCGGTGACATGCAAGAAAGGGAAATGGTTAGCACCAAGGAAGGCAATGTTTGGGAAGTGTCCTCGCACACTGAAGCTCAAACGTGACAAGCAGAGCGCCCTTCCCTGAGCACTTGGAGATCACTGCCGTTGGCTCAGTTGTAATGTGCTCTGCTCCCACGGCTCCCTTGCCACATCCGTGTGTGCACACGAGGGAGTCTGCTGGCGTCGCCCAGCCTCCACTCGGATTTGCTGTGTGTGCTCCAGATGCTGACACGGCTGCCTGCCAGCCTGTCCCCAGACTCGGCGAATGCCCCCTTTCCTCCTGGCACACCCGTGCCGTCTCCAGAACGATGGCTCTGGCACAGTTTGGACCACGCTGCACGGAGGCATGGAAAGTCCCAAAGTAAAGTCCCTGCCGCAGGAAGGGGTTCAGTGTGACGCCCCGCCCCCCAGCTGCGAAGAGGCGACAGTGACGCCCCTGTAACCCAGGGAGGCCAGATGACACCCAGGCCGCGTCTCCTATAAGACCAGCCTCTGGGCTCCGGAATTCCCTCGGTGCTCAGGAGTCTGTCCACCCGCCTGAGTGACGGATGAGCTATTTGCACTCGCTCTTGCTGCCTGCCTGGGGGAGGCTGTCGGGGGACCTCACTGTCTGTGCTGCCCGCTGTCGCTGGAAAAGAAAATCTGTAGGGACGGTGCTGGAGGGGTTCTCGGGGCCAGGTGGGGCCTGCTGCGTGGGCCGCAGACCACGTGCAACTGACAGTGAACAGGACAGTGGGGTAGGGGCGCTGAGCTGCCTGTTAAAGGGAATGGTGTGTTTAAAGCAAAGTGTATGGGAAGCAGCTTCAGGTACCTGAGCAAGCGTGTGCCTGGCATGAGAACAGAGCCCGTGTCCTGGCACAGGGCAGACGCTGCCCCTGGTGGGCTGCAGTAGGGAGGGTCCAGCACCAGGAAAGGGCGTGGGTTAGACGGCACCCTACCTCGATGGGAAAGTCACGTCTGAACCCATTTTAGTGCTGATTTGAAGCCAGAAAGCTCACTGCTCAAAAGGATTCCAAACAAAATTTTGGCCAAGTACTTCCTCTGCCCTGAAAATTCAAGGGGACAAGCCTGGGCTGAGCCACCACAACCAGGCCACATGTTCCCTGCCCTCCAGTATCTGGTGTCCTCCTCTCTGCAGCCCTACTAAGTTCCAACCTGACGGGTCCCCTATGTGGAGGAGTCTGAGAAGGCCCCACCCTCTGCCCACCAAAGGACCCCAGCCCTTCAGGAAAAGGGCTTCCAGTGTGTGTCCAGTGTGCGGCTGGAGAGGGAGGCCACTCCCGCACCGCGGGGGGCCGACCTCAGGCCGCAGACGCAGGAAGCCTGTGTCACTACAGACTGGTGGGAAGTGGAAAGGCCATGGCCCTGCTGACCCCTAGGTCAGGACATCCTGTCCTTGACTCAATGGCCCGTCTACGTCAGGAGTTGCTGCTCCCTCCAGGGAACACCTGACAGACACCCCAGAAATGGGGGTCTCCCGAACTGCCTGAACACCCACAGCTTTTTCACCCAACATGCCGACAGAATGGAGGGAACTTGACCAGCGAATGTTGAGCACCACCACCACCTTTCAGACTGACATCAACTGAATTGCAAACACATGCTTGACCCCATAGGTCCACTTCCAGGACTTGACCTACAGGGGCCAAGCCAGGAACCGTGGCAAGGACATCAACTGCGGCGTGTGTGCGATGCCACCGAGTGAGCACCACTCGGGGGCGCAGGGAGCAGCCGTCTGGGGGTGGGCCTGAGCTCGGGTTGACCCAGACCCTGGTCCCCAAGAAGCTGCTGCTCACAGGCTGCACAGCTGCGTGTTGTTTCCTCCTGGTTTTTACAGACAGTGTGACTGTTTCGTGGCTTAAAGAAAGGGATGGAAGGATTCCTGCTGAACTACTGCAGTCGGCTTCCTGCCCCCAGGAGGTGGAGAGGGACGTCCCCGACTTTTATCTTACACGTCTCTGTATCACCTGACCGAACACAGTCCGCCTGCACCGCTGGTACAATGTCGGGAATCAAGAGAACAGCACAGTGAAGAGCAAGACCTTTTAAATTATCCTTACCTTCTGGGGAAAGGTCGGTGGGTTTTGTGAAGCCGGGGGCAGTGCGTTTGAAGATCTTGGTTCTTTCTCCTCCCACAACCACCTCTGGTCCAAGCAGGGAGACCAGCACGGCCAGGCTGTGCAGGGTGACGGCCACGATGGAGGTGCTAGTGTCCCGTAGGCCCAGCAACACCTAGGGGAGACAGGGTGTGAGTGCACTGGCTCAGGTGACCCTCCTCCGTCCACCGTGGGCTCAGGGCCTTCAGGCTGTCTGTGCCCCTCCCGACCCTCCTCCTGTGACCGCATCCGAGTGGGAACTGGCGGAGCCACACCTGACGCTGGGCCAGGTCTGGGGCTAGGATGCACAGAAGCCCAGATGAGCTGGAGGGATGGGGAAATGGAGGGTATCTCTGCATGGAGGACCCCGTGAGAAGGGGTCTCAGCACCAGGGAGGAGTCCCCCTGATGTCTGGCTATGAAAACCGGTGGGGACTATGCCCGCAAAGCAGGGCTGCTGAGTCCCTGGTGTGCTTTCAAACACCCAGCTCCCTTGTTCACAGAGGGACTGGCTCTGAGCTCCAGCGTTAGGGCCAATGAGCACCAGGGGCCGGGGGGAGAGTGGGGAGTAGCACTGGAGGGCAGGGGACCCAGGTGACCCCCTCTGGGTATGGCAGCCTCACCTCCACCCCTGGAGGTTGAGAGCTGGCAGGTGCCAAGCCTGAGTCTCCATTAACCTTGCTAACACCTTTCACCGGCCTGGTGATTCCCCGAGACCCCACCCACCTGGGCCTGGAGACCCTCTTCCAGCAGCTCCTCCACACAAGCAGCCGTCCCTGTTCACACTGCAGACTTTTGGAAACCTTTCAAGGTCTAACAAGCCCCAAACCAGCAGGCGCTGTCCTCAGTGTGCCCTGTGCCTCTGCCACACTGCCCCCAGCCTGACGAGAGCCTGCAGTGTGGCTCCCCTGAGGTGGCCCTCAAGCCCGGCATGAGCGGCAGCCAGACAGGACTTGGAACACAGCTCAGACTACAGAGCCACATGCCCAGTGGTGGCCTGGTGTGCAGCACGGCCCCGCCCAGGCAGTGCCTAGCCCTGCGCCCGCCACAGCCCACTGTGGAGTGGACCCCTCTGTAGCTCCCACTAGGTGGCCCCAAATTGAGAACACTCGGCAGTGGCCTCGACCTGCAGCGGAGCCCCTCACGGTGAGACAGGACGGGGGAAAGCTAAGAAAATCCTTGGTAGCAGGGACAGGAAAACAGAGACAGACTGCCGGACACACTGGCCCAGCAACTGACAGCCAGGTGCAGATGGTCCCCAGGGCGGAAGGAAGGCCCGGCGGGGCAAACGGGAACACAGGACCTCACCCCCGGGGTGACCTCTCCCCTCTGCCCCCAGCCTCTTTCCTCCCTGGAGACATCTAGGCCCCAGTGGTGGTTCAGCTCCAGGCCCAGAAAAGCAGCAGAACCAGGAGGGCAAGGCCAGGACCAGCTGCAACGACTAAGGACCCCCTGCCGCTGACCAATCAGGGGAGCCCGTGACCCTGAAAGGACACACCTGGGGAACTGACGAACGTTCTGCGGAGACCCTCCCCTGAGACCTCCCCCAGGACCCCCGCCTGCAGGAGAGAGACCAAGGCCGCAGGCCCCAGTCCCTTCTCCCCCGCACTTCTCTCCCCCCAGGCAGGCACCTCCTGAACTCCGAGGCAGCTGGTCCCAGGCTGATCCCCCGAACCCGTCCCCAAAGCCCCCTTTTCTCCGACTTCCCAGTGAGCTCAGGCAGCCCAGCAGCTCCTGTGGCGGCTCCCTCTGTGCCGGGCCCCCCGTTTCACTGCCCCAGCCTCAGCGGACAGACCCTCGTGGTCACCTGGACTCCTGTTGTGAAACCTTCCTACCCAGGCCCAGGCCCCTGTCCAGTGACGAAGAGGCTCCAGAACAAAATGAGCTCCACTCTGTCAACTCTACAAACAGCACCTGAAGGCAGACACCGCTGGCCCTGTCCTGCTGGAGACCCACGGGCCACCACAAAGGAGGAGGGGTCAGGGACTTGAGGCAAGCGAAACTACCTGACTAAAGAGGCAGCTTCTCCAGGACAGCATCCTTGGCACCAGTGATGTTCTGTCGAGCCCTCCCCAAGCCCAGCCGGCCAGCGGCACTGAGTCTGAATCCCTCCAGCGCCTCTCGCCCCACCATGCAGATTCCGAAACCCCACTGGAGCCCTCACCTGGCCCTCCCCCTGTGGCTGTTCCTCACCAGCGGCTGGCCTGGGCTTGTGGTGCGGACTTCTGTCTAGGCTTCGGTGGGACGATTCCATAGTCTATCACCCGTATTGTAGCATGTGCACCACCCAAAGTCAGGTCTCCTCCCATCAGCACTCATCACCCTTTACCCTCTTCTGCCCCCCCCCAACCCCTTCCCCTCTGGTCCTCACCCTAAAACCTCTCAAAGGCCCGCAACTGCAAAGAGGCACCACTGCCTTTGGCATGTCCTGTTCCTCTTGCTAAGTGGCCGCAGCCCTAGGTAAGGCACTCACAGCTGAGCACCGAGAAAACAATGTGATTGAGGTGGGCAGAGCCCAAACACACGCTTCTCCAAAGGGGACATACAGATGGGCAGCGGGTGCTCTATGCAATCACTAATGCTCAGAGATACAAATGAAAACCACACTGCGACCACAGAGAGGTGCCGCCTCACACCTTTCAGTGGTTGTCAACAAATCAACAGTCGAATGCGGCGAGAACCTGGAGATGGGAGCCCCGGTGCGTGGCAGGTGGGGTGCAGACTGGTGTGTAGCTGCTGGGGGAGACGGTGTGGAGGTTCTTCAAAGTTACAAACAACTACCGTCTGACTCAGCAGTTACTCTACTGGTGTTTATCCAAAGAAATACAAAACCCTAATTCAAAAACACACATGCACCCTATGTTCACTGCAGCATTACTGACAACAGCCAGGACATGGAAGCAGCCCAGGTGCCCACCAGCAGGTGTGTGGCTAAAACGGCTGTGGTGCATCTGGACAGTGAAATGCCCAGCCACAAGAAAGAAAAACCTTTCCACTTGCAACAACGTGGACGGACCCAGAGGGCATTATGCCTTGTGGTGGAACTCAAAGACAAATGCCACATGACTGCTTCTGTGTGGAATCTCATGGATGGACAGAAATGCATAGATGCAGAGAACAGAGGGACGGGGGGTGGGGGCCGGGTGGGAAGGGTAAAGGGACTTGGAGGCATGGGCGGGTTGTGACAGGATGCTCACGGGGGTGAACAGGGCGGCACCGGGCTTATCAGGGTTTGCTTAAGTTACAGAAACGTGTGATCACTGCATTGCACAATCACAGTTAATATAATACTCTATGAACTGTGATTGGAAAATAGTTTTTGAAAATACGGTAATAAGACTTCCACCAAGATGGAGGCATAGGTGGATGTGCCGTGCCTTCTCACACAACCAAGATTAGAGAAAACTAAATAATAGCAACAGAAAACACAGCCAGAACACGGAAAATTGAACTTTTCGGAAGTCTGTTAACAAATTCTTCAGCCTGACCGGTAAGGGGCGAAACCAGCGGCTGGTGAAGTGGGGTTGCACAGGAGGTCTCCGTCAGACGGACTCAGGCGTGGAATCCAGACGCGCGGAATCCAGGCTGCAGAATCCAGGAGCAGGGTCAGACCTAGTGAGCGACCCAGCGAGCGACCAGGCGAGCGACCGCGGGGGAGACAGCGGGGCAGCGGGGCTGCGTGTTGACTGAGGTCGCGCATTTGTGCGAGGGTGGACAGGCGAGGGAGTGGGCGGTTGGACCGGGCCGGCAGGTCCCCACATCAAGCGGCAGTGGAGGGCGCCGCCATTTCCCTGCTCTGACCCCACCTCCACATACAGCGTCATAACCCAGCGACTCTGCGTGGCCCGGCCCAGGTGAACCACCTAAGGCACTGCTCCTCCGCACCCAGCTGTGAGAAGCAGCAGAGGGGGCCGCCATTTCCCCGCTCTGGCCACGCCCCCACATACAGCGTCACAACCCAGCGACCTGGGAGTCCAAGGCGCCGCTTCTCACACTTAAAGGGCCCAAACAGACCAAGAATGGCACAGAAGGATCTCAGAGCCCCAGAGCCAATAGATCTAAGCGATGAAGAAATAGCAAAACTCACAGACGCACAGTTTAAAACATTGGTGATCAGGATCCTCACAGAACTGGTTGATTATACGGACAAATTAGACAAATATATGAAGGTGAAACTAATTGAAATGAATGGAATTACACAGGACACCAATAGCAATGAAAAGGAAACTGGGACTCAAATCAATGGAGTGGACCAGAAGAAAGCAAATAATGGCCAAACAGAAAAGAGTCAAGAAGCAAGAATTCAGAAAAATGAGGAGAGGCATAGGAACCTCCAGGACATCTTTAAACGCTCCAACATCTGAATTATAGGGGTACCAGAAGGGGGAAAGGCACAGCCACCAGTGGAAAACTTATTTGAACAAATAATAAAGGAGAATTTCCCCAATCTGGCAAAGGAAATAGACTTCCAGGAAATCCAGGAAGCTCAGAGAGTCCCAAAGAAGTTGGACCCAAGAAGGAACACACCAAGGCACATCATAATTACATTAGCCAAGATTAAAATGAAGGAGAGAATCCTAGAAGCAGCAAGAGCTAAGGGGACAGTCACCTACAAAGGAGTCCCCCATCAGACTGTCAGCGGATTTCTCAAAAGAGACCTTACAGGCAAGAAGGGGCTGGAAAGAGGTATTCCAAGTCATGAAATCTAAAGACCTACAACCAAGATTGATCTATCCAGCAAAACTTTCATTTAGAATGGAAGGACAGATAAAGTGCTTCTCAGAGAAGGTCAAATTCAAGGAGTTCATCATCACCAAGCCCTTATTATATGAAATGTTAAAGGGACTTATCTAAGAAAAAGAAGTTAAAGAAACATGAACAGTGAAAGGACAACAAACTCACAGTTATTAACAACCACACCTAAAACGAAAGCAAACTAAAAGGACAGCTAGATCAGGAGTGGAAACATAGAAATGAAGATCTCAAGGAGGGTTAGCAACAGGGGAGTGGGAGGAGGAGAAGGGGGGAGAAGGTACAGAAAATAAGTAGCATAGACAGTAGATAGAAAATAGATGGGGGGGGCAAGAATAGCATGGGAAATATAGAACCGAAAGAACTTGAGGCACATGGTCATAAACTAAAGGGGGGTGATGGTGGGGATGGGGGGTAGGGTGAAGGGGAATAAAGGGGGAATAGAACAACTGTAACAGCATAATCAATAAAAAAAATTTTGTGGCAAAAAAAAAAGGTAATAAAACTAGACAAACATACTGGAAATAACATTGCCATGAAGGCTTCAGATGCCGAATCTCCGGCCCGTTCTCACGGCACTGCCGGAGCAGCACAGTGCGGGGGCGGCAGGCTCCGCAGAGCACAGGGGGCTCTGTCGGGAAGGCAGATGCCCCCCGTCCTTGCTCACTTTCCTCAGCTTCAGACATGCACCAGCTTCGACCCTGACTCATTATGTCTCATGTGTAGAGTACCTGCCCCAAATGGGCCAATATGGTGTCTTGCCAGTACAAACTGGAGCTGAGAGAACCTGGTGGTTGATCTCGGTGGTTTGCTCAAGCCGGGAGCCACCAGGACGACCCGGCCCAGGTGGGAGATGGGCAGAGGGAGGACCCTACCTGTGGATTCCGGCCCGCCACCCCTTGGGCTCCAGGGGAGCAGCCTGACATTCCTTCATCAAGGTCTCTGATTGGCCAGAAGGCTTCGCTGGGCCACAGCAGCCGTCAGGAGAGGTTCTGTTCTGAGTGGCAAAGCCGTGCAGGAGGACGGTGGCGTGCAGCACACAGGTAGCCCCGGCCGGACCCGAGGCCTGGACGTTGTGGGGGAGGCAGCAGGGCCTCGTGGAACCAGGAAGCCCGGGCTCCTGGCCCGGCTCTGCTAGGAATTCCCAATGTAACTAAGCCGTTTTATTTTCCTGGTTTCCTCCTTTAGCTGAGGTCAAGGTTGCCAACAGGGGCTTACGATAACTTCCAGGTCCAATGCTAACAGAGCTGTGCAAATAAACTCAAGCACATTTCTGCTGCATATGATTAGAGTTCTAGCCACTGAACGTGATAACCCTAAAATAACAAACAACCCGAGGCCAAGTTCCAAGTCACCCTCAAACCACCCCCATCTTGTGAGAAACCGAGTGAGTCCCTCCCCCATCGCCTGCCACCACAGTGCCCAGCACTCTGTGACCTCTTAGGGTTGGGCTGTCCTTAGAGCTGCCTGCTTTCCAAAGCCCAGCACTGCCACCAAAGTGACCTGGCCCAGAGGAACGGGCCGAGTGACTCCCCTGCAGGGCAGGCGGCTCCCATGAGCCATCACGACCCCAGGTGCCGACTGACTGGGGGGTCTCTCTTCCATCTGAGCGCTCAGTGCCAGATCTGAGACCTATGGCGACCCCCCCCACCAAGGCTGGAGTGCTGCGCCCCCACTGACGTTCAGACACAAGCAGCCGCACAGCAGCCCCGGTGGCCCGCATCTGCCAGATGAGTGTGACAGAAGTGGCCGTCGGCTCCCATCACGCGCTGTATAGGCCACTGGCACTTCTCACAGCACCAGCCGTGAGCCCCGTGGGGCATCGTGGGGGGAGGTCCGGCTGTGCCCACTCCCTGCTGTGCCCCGCGTTCCTGTCGGACCCTCCAGGGTGCCACGGCGCCATCTGCACGTGTCGGCCCCGTGAGGTCCAGGTGACAGCGGTCTCAGCTGACCCTGCGTGGGTGGCACAGAACCCCGGCTGCACCTGGGCCACCCAGAGAGCTGTGAGGACAGCATGGCTGGGGTGCGAAGGCACCGGGGTGTGCTCTGGGGTGTCTCCCGCAGCAGACAGACCGCTGTCTTCCCCGCTCCCAGCCCCACCGGCCCCGCCCTCAGCACAGCACTTGGCCCTTCCCCGGGCCTCACAGCTTTTCAATAAACTAAACCTCTAGCAGAACAAGTTATCCGAAGGACTGCACGTGCTAACGCAACCTTCTAAAATGGCATACTGACTTGAAGAGTCGTAAATTCCTGTCCACCTGGAACGTGACCTTAAAACGAGGCCACACTGGGGTAGAAAGGCCCCCACCCCACGACTGGCCGAGGCTGCCCGGAGCAGCGAGGGAGGGCTCACCCCCAGGGCGGTCAGGGAGCACGGCCCACCGCCCCTTGAGTCTGCACTGCTACTTCCAGAACCTTCTGCCAGCCGCAGGGGACCAACACAGACCTGAAGCCCTGACGGGGCCTAACGAGGCTCCGGGGGCCCTGATGAGGCTGGAAGTGTGGGTGCCGCTGCCTCCTTCCCTCTCTGGTTCGGCAGTTGCTTCTCAAACACCTCGGACCCAGGTCTGTGCTCACGCGGCCTCCGCCTGCCTCGCCCCGGGGGGGCGGGGCACCGACTGGGGTTTCTCTGCGGACTGGCCTTTGGGGGGGAGGAGCCCAGTCCTCTGCGGCCTCTCGTGCCCGCCCGGCCGCCCGTGCTGACCTGGGGCAGGATGATGGTGCGCAGCTGCTCACGCGTGAAGTGCGCGGCGTAGGCCTCCAGGTGGGTCAGCAGCACCAGGCGCACGTGCTCCTCGTGCACCTCGAACAGCCGCAGCAACACGGGCACCACGCGCGCCCGGAACAGGGCCGGCGACAGCAGGCACGGGGTCCCTCCGGGCGCCCCGTCTGCCCGAGGGTGCAGGCAGACAAGGGGAAAGAACAGGCACGTGTCAGTGCGGGGGCACCACTGGCATCCGCCGGCCCCCCCTGAGTCTCAGGCCCCAAACCCGAGGGCAGCTAAGCTCCCCGTGGACCCCAAACTCCTCTCGAGGCTGAGTCATAAACGCTCTCTGACTTACAGAAGTGTTTCAATGATACAGTATCATTCTTCGTGGTGTACAAGAAAAGCTTGCGTTTAAGTAGATCCCGAATCAGTAACTTTTTACACATTTGCGCTTAATCAGAGGAATCTTATGGGCCTTAGGCGGAGGCTGTTTCAACTTGATCTGCAGAACCAGGAGGTGCGGCGGCCACCACCAGACTTGCTGCTGGCCAGCCCTGCCTGCCCCGCGGTTGTGGGGACGGAGACCTTTACAGCAGACGACACTGCTGCCCGCGCTGTCCCGGGACCAGGGCCCCCGGTGCACAGGCAAAGCTTTAAAAGCCTCCCGGGTGACTCAGAGGTACACCCCACCTCAGGCCTCCCGAGGAGTAATCGGAGGAAGAGCTGCAGAGCCAAGTTCGTGGCTAAAGAGCCGAAGGGAGCTCTGGTGCAACAGTCCCCGGCTCGCTGCCTGGCTGGACTGAGACCGTCTCAGCACAGAAGTTCTAAAGCAGGACTGTCCCCACCTCGAACTCCAGTCACATTGTGCTGTGCTCTCTCACCCGAGGAGGTGACCGTCTGCAGCACTCAGACTCTCAGTTTCAAAGAAACAGCCTCATCTCACACTCAGAACCAAACCCAAGTCCCCAGAACGGTCTCAGTGCTTTTCCCTCTTTCCCCCGAAAACAAGCGACTGCTTCGGGGGTCAGCGGGCGCCGGCCTACGCGATTCACTGCCGGTGTCCAAGTTCCCGAAGACGCAGCCTCTCCGTGTGGCAGCCTCGTGCGCCCCACTGAATTCGGCAAGTCTGACCCCAGGACGCTGCCACGCCCACGCTGTGGGCTCCGGCACCCGGGTTGGAGCCCCCACAGGTTTCGGGGCCACGCAGCCATCTCACCCTGCTGCCACTCGGGCCGGTAACCCCAAACCCCACGACACATAACAATGCAAAACAAGGCACCTTGTTTGGGGCCGAGCAGGTGAGGAAGGAAACTCCGAACGGCCACCGGCTCTGCGAACACCAGCTGGTTGAGCAGCAGGGGCACCAGCCGGGCGGCGACCAGCTCCTCGGGCAGGCAGCTAACTCTGTCCAGCAGGAACCTGCGGGCGGGGGAGTCGGGAGCTGCCTGTGACGCCGGCCAGCCCGTGCGTGTGCTTCCGACACCCGTGGCCCGCCTCCCACTCCATCCGAATGACGATTCGTAAGGAAGCCGGGGAGGGGACCAGGCCGGCCCGGGGCAGGTAAGAAGGCAGGAGGTGGCGCGGTGCTTTGGCAACGGCGGCTGCGTCCCTCCCCCCACAGCCCGGGGTCTGCTGGTCAGTGAAGGGGCATCCCGTTCACTGTGAAAGACGCAGCTGCTGGATTGTTTGAACTTTCCACAGCAATCAGAACACAGGCTTTTGTCACTGAACTCAGCGAAAACGCTGCCCGTAAAACCGCCCAGTGACGAAGCCGCAGATGTGAGGTGTTAACTTTCTGAACTTACTTAAAGAATTCAGTCTTTTCCTCTTCACTCTTCAATGTTAAACTTTTCAGGAAATTCACGACTTCTAGAAAATCGTTCCTAAATGCCAAAAAGAAAGGACAGGCAGAATGGATCAGAGGAGCCCGCTGACTGCAGCCACGACCCTGACCTCGCCGCGGGCCCGTCGCCGCGGGGCTGCTCCCGCCGTGAGCAGGGTCTGCAGTGACCTAGGGGCCACAGCAAGTCCAAGGTTCAGGCCATCGCAGAGGCGTGTGAAGGGGGCGCATGGCAAGCACACACGGGTGTGCGCGGAGAGGCTGACAACTACGTCTGTGGTTTGCATAATCACAAGCGGTTCCGCTGTAAGGAGGTGTGGCCACACGAGGCACCGGGGAGAAATGGTTATCGTCACAAAACAGCTGTTGACTCTCAAGTCTCCTGTGGACGTAAAGACGACTGGAGAGCCACGGGGGCCTCGTCTCTCCTGCTCCACGTCGTGGCCCCCCTTCCCTTGGGCAGGGCAGAGGGGGAGGGTGGTGGACTTCCCGCTGGGCCCCGGGCCTGCCCCCTGCCCTCCGGGAGCCCAGGGAGCGAGGCTGGGCATGCAGCCTGGAGCCCCCGCAGCACAGCCCCCCTCCGGGGTCCAATCCTGGGCTCACCCCCATTTCCTGCTGCCCACGTCTTAACTCGGGTCCCACCAGACTGGCTCAGCTGCCCCACCCGCTCTCGGGCTGGGCTCTCCCCAGTATGGGGAACGCCGGCTGCGGGAAGGGGCGCCCGCGTGTGTTCCCAGCTGTCCTCCGCGCCTGAAGCACTCTCGTCACACCGTGACCAGGGCACCGAGTTACGGCAGAGGCAGTCTCCTGTTTACCGAGACCACCCACCCCGCCTCCAGGTGACACCAGCTTTCCCGTCTCCCCGTGTCTCTCAGGCTCTGCCCGCAAACAAGTTGCAGTTTCAAAACTGACACAGGACCGGCTCTGCCAACGACGGCCATGACCATGGTGTTAGCCTGACCAGACTGCACGGAAGTAAGGAACCTGGGGCCACGGAACTGAGACCGACCTCCAGAGGCTCAGGAGCGGCGGCTGTCTGTGCCCCCCGCCCAGGCCCACTGCTCGGCTGTCCCCGAGATCCCACTACACTGAGACCGGTCTTCTGCCTGAAGAAAAGGAAGCTCACTTCCACCCCCAGAAAGAAAATTCCAACAGCAGACTCATCCCGATGATGCAAAGGCGGCAGAAGGGAGAAGCCACGTGGACTGACTGCTCCACCTACACAGCGAGCCCCGGGCCGCCTCGCTGCTGCCCCCCGGAAGCCCTCAGGACCCTCCGAGGACGCGACGACCGGTTTCCAGAGCCTCCTGCCTGTGGCCGCACTGAGAGGCAGCCCACTTCCGTCTCCCGGGGGCACGACAGTCTCCCCCGATGGACAAGGACGGGGGCGGCGCCCCCCAGCCAGCCCCTCACCTGAAGAAGCCGTGGGACAGGAGGGTGCGGAGCGCGGGCCGGCGCTGGGGGGCGGGCTGCAGCAAGGCTGAGTGCAGGGTCTGTCGGAAGCTGCAGAGAGCGTCCGCTGAAACTGAAATCCAGAGCGACAGTTAGTTCCCAAGGCTCCGCCTGCTTTCGGGCCTCTAGCTGCAGACTGACGAGAGCAAAGCCAACCTGCAAAAGCCCAAACAGACAGAGCCCCGCGGTCGACACAGCGTCCAGCCCCGAGCCAGACTCCGGGGCACACGCGGGCACCTGCCTGCCGACCGCGCCCAGGGAGGGACCCACCCCGCGGGCCTCCCCTGCGAGGCCGTTTTCTGATTGTCACTTTACTCAGCGGGGACTGAAAAGGCCACACGGGCAGGTTGAAGGACGACTTTCCCCACGGAACCACCTCCGTTCTGGACACGTGGGGAACAGGGGCTCCCCGCCCGCGGCGCCTGCCCGGGGCCTCGGCTCACTCCGAGTACGGAGGCCGGGACACCTGACGGCAGACCCGAGTGTGCCTGTCACCTCAGGCTGTGGTGGGGGCCTGGCGGTGGAGACTGGGGCAGGGCCGTGTGCAGCTGCGGCAGTGGGGACACGGGCCCGCGAGGGGCTAACGGGCGTGGGCCGGGGACGCCTAGCGGGCAACACTGAAGCCCAAGTGGCTGCAGGACAGCGACACAGGTGGCTGAGGGGCAACTAGAGGACTCAGAGGACAAACAGCCTGGGCTCCGAGGGCGACAACAGGGGCGAGTGAGTCACAGCAGGAAGAAACAGTTCAGGGGCCTGGAAGCGTAAAGACAACAAAGGTCGAGTTTGATCTAGAAATGAGTGACAAGGCGCCTGACTGCCACAGGTGACAGCGTCCCTGGGCCCCTGCTCGCTCCCCGGCCGTCTTCCAACCATCACTCGCCGCACCAGCTACTAAGGTGGGGACGTGGTGCCGGAGGCGAGTTCAAGGGCTTCGCGGGGTCTGCAGGCCTCTGAGCGCCCCCCCCCCCCCAGGCCGTGGCCGTGGCGGTGTAACCCACTCACCGTGCTCGCCGAGGGCCCTGAGCAGCCTCTCCGCCAGCTTCCCGAACGCGTAGGCGTCCCGGGCATGTCCGTGGGCCTCCGGCAGCGCCGCGAACTCTGGAGCCTGGAAGCAGGAGAGGCCGTCAGTGCCGGGGCGCCTGGCCACAGCTCCCTCACTCCGACTCACGGGCGCGGGCCGTCGGTGGCCACCAAGCACGTCTGACAGCACCCGACTGAACGGCCCATCGTCCTCATCACACGTGTAGGCGCACACGGAACACAGACCGGAGCCTCACGGGGCAGCGCCGGACACCACCACCCACCAGGCCTGGGACGCTCTGTCGCTCGCTGCCCCGCGAGTGCTCGTCAGAACCTTTACGCTGACTCGAAACCCCTCATGTCGGGTGCACACGGTGCCGACATGGCGGACCCGCTGCACCGCCAGGCCCTGCCCCCCGCTGCACGTGGGCTCCCGCAGAGCGCGGGGCGTGTCCCTGGGCCCACGGTCCGCTCACGGCGCTGGGAGACACGTTTAAGCAGCGGCTGCCCTCGGCTTCCCAGGCACATCCAGCGCCTCTGCCAGCAGCACCACAGATGGGGCGTCACTCCCTCTGTGTGGGTCTCGGGGTCCCACTCACGCCCGGACTGGCAGAGCGCCCCAGCCCGGGTTCCAGCGCAGGGGGACACCACGAACTGGGGGCGGTGGGGGGAAGCACCCGCACTGTTCACAGGGACGTCCCGCTCCCTGTCTTGTCGCGCTTCCCTTTTGGCTGCAGTGACGCTCCACGTCCTCTGTGTCAGTGGCAGGCGCTCCCAGGCCCCGCCCACACGGACACCGAATGTGGTCATTCGCAGGACAGACTGTGTCCCTGTGTCCCTGCGCCCAGTCCCCGCCCCCGCCTCCCCCGCCCCCGCCCCCCTGGCTGTTCTCCGCCTCTGCTGCTGCTTCCTCTCTCCACCGACTGTTCTTTACGTTCCACGCAACCGAGGTCCCTCCATCTTTAAACGATGTCACGGGTGTCTACCTAACCAACTGTCAGCTGGATGTCAAGAAAAGGCTCCCTGCGGTGATGACTCTCAGAAGCCTCCAGGGCCGGAGGAAGTGGGGGGCCTCTCGGACGCAGCACAGGACGAGGGGCAGGAGGGCACTTTGGTCTCACGCTGGGGCACAGAGAAGGGTGTGTGCCATCTTACCGTCTCCTCGGGAGGGACACACGCCGGGTCTCTGACGGACTGGATGCTCCTCAGGAACTGGAGAGAAGGACACAGGGAGGGAAGGGCTCGCTCTGACGCTGGCTGGACTGACCTCTGCCAGCGGGCCGCAAGGGCGCCGGAGATGCCACCAGGAAGCATCCCGCCATGGCCATGTGCCCGCCACGGCCACGTGTCAAATGCACACATTTAAAACCTTCCTAACGCAAAGTAAAGGCAGGCCTGGCCAAGCGCAAGGCTTCAGAGGGAGGTTAAGTGTTGGTCCCCTCCCCTCTGTGCCTGGCCGGACAGACCCCTCGCTGCCCGCAGGCACTGGGGCGCCCGACTTCCCACGCCGCAGGGACGTGAAGCAGCGGAGGGCCCCTCTGGCAGGGGGCCGGTCCGCACCGACCTCGCCGCGCTGCTGCCACGAGCCGCCCAGCCCACGCCCACATCGCGACCCTCTGGCACGGAAATCGAGGCCGCCTTCCGGGAGCCTGCGCGTCCCAGCAGCACCGGGCACTGGGAGTATGAAGCGCGTGCAGCCACCCCCCGTCCTGCACGTGGGCGCAGCCCAGCTCGGAAACCCCAAGGGTCAGCACCGTGCGCCCAGGGCGTGGCAGGGGCGCGGGAGCCTTGTCGTGACTCGGGCTCCTCTGCCGTTTCCCAGCGACAGGGCCACACGGGGCGAAGGGACCCGGTCCACCCGAGGGCCTGCGAGCCGCGTGGAGCAGGACCACACGGTGGGGCCCAGCAAGTGTGAGCTGCTGGGGAGCCCAGGGAGGGCCGGGGAGGAGATGCCCACGGGCCTCAGGGGGGAGGGTGTGGCGTGTGACCCACAGGGAACCGCACGCTGAGAGCCTGAGGAGACACGAGGGGAGTGCGAAAGCCACAGTGGGAAGAGGCCATGTTGCCAAAGCACAGGCCACCCCGTGAGTGTGGGAGGGAGACGCGGGGGGCGGGGCTCCCGCAGCTGCAGGAGTGTTTGCTTCTCTCAGAGAGCGAGTCTCGTGGCAGTGGGCGCGGAGGGGACACGAGGAGCCACACGGGGCACAGAGGTGTCCCCAGTTCATTCCACAGAATTGCCGGAAGGGTCCCAGGTGGCAGACACACCGCCCACGGGGGCGGGGGGGGGAGGCACTTGAGATGCACCGGTCCTACTTCCAGGCCTTGGGGCAGAACGGGTGACTTCGGAGACTCGGGTGCCTGTGCAGCGGACACTTCCTGAGTCCCTAACGCGCGCCCAGCACATTCCGGGCGGAGCTCCAGGGGTAAACGGGAGGCGCTGCCACCCGGGTAAAGGAGCCAGACGCGCACAGGCCGTTCCAGTGCCCAGCGGGACGTGGCGTCGCCGGCACGGGAGCGGGGGAGGGGCTCTGGACTGACAAGCGGACGGACTGTCCACCTCTCAGTCTCGGCCTCCTCAGCCAGCAAACCAGGTAAAGGCCCCGCCGCCCTGGGGAGAACCGACCCCGCGGTTCCAGGAAGATGAGCACCGACAAGGGACTGCGTCTCCGAAGGCAGGACCGCCCGACACCACAGGGAGGCCCGTGAGCCCCACGGCTCACCTCCGGGGTGGCCTGGGGCACCCGGCAGACGGTCTCCATGGCTCCCAGCTTCCAGTGTCCGTCCTCGCTCACAAACACGGATGACACGCAGACGTTGTTGTGCGTCAGGTGTCCCTGGAAAAAAGGGACAAGGAGAAGTCTGCCACCCCAACTTTGAAAGGCGAGGTTTTAGAAAACCAAATGCTAATCACCAAACAAGAGGCCCGGCAGGTCCTCCCACGGTGGCACACGACACGGAAGTCCCACGTCAGGGAGGGACAAGCTGGAAGAGCCGAAGGCACTGCACGAGCCCTGTGCTTCGAAGGGGGAAAGACGCCACGGGAAGGCCACTGTCACCCCTGGCGAGCTGGTCACCGCGCACCCTGTGCCCTCGGGTCAGGTCCGTGAGCAGAAATTCACTGACCTTTGGAACCTGTCCATTTGCTTCCAGTCTTTAACCCTGTGGAGGGCACGGCTGATCTGAGACACAAGCAAACTCTTTTCTTAAACATCACTATGTATATCGAGTGCATATGTGTTTGCATGTGACTGTTGCACCATAACATTCAGCTGGTCATGACCTTGAACCTATGCACCCGGTACAGGTAACAACATTCCAGAAAAGAGCCTGCACCTCTCAGATCGGCCGCGACCTCCGCTGGGTTAGCGACCACGTTCCTCTTTGTTCCAGTTAGTTTTCTCCTCTGTTCTTTCTCACCCATGTTCCCTTGCGACCCCAGCCCATGTCACTGCAATCTTGGGACTGCAGGGACTGAAAAAACTCTGTCCGAACAAGAGGGATGGCAGGGGAGGGCGACCAGAAGTTTCACAGACCAGAGCGGCCGGACTGAAAACTGGAACAGCTCGGTCAGCGAGCAGAGAGGGAGGAGGCCAAGGAGAAGGAGGCGGAAGCGCAGGTTTCTTTTCCAAACCCGGAATCATCCCAGTGGCCAAGTGCATTTTCAGTTTTTTACCGGGAGAAGAAACGTGTGCCAGTTTCCACGCAGAACACGGCAGGGTGTGTCCGTGTTGAGGGAGGTGCGTCTGCACCGGAGGGACACAGCAGCAGGTCAGCACGCCACGGCCCAGCCTGCCGCACACGGACCCCTCTGGACCAGCGGCCGAGCCCCGGCCGAGCAGGGACAACTGCACCCGGTGCCGGCGGGGGCGCCGGCCCCTCTGTGTCTGCCACACTGTTCAGCTCCTCACTGCCTGCGTGCACTTTCTCCAGCAAAGGCAACGCCCCCCACAGTGAAGAAGCATCAACTCTCCCACCTGCACCCCAGACACACTCTTAAGAGAAGATAAATCCAGAGTGATGCTTAGAGCGTTTATCTCCCATTAACAGAAAAATCTTTACAAATGCACATTCGGTCGAGTCCAATGCCAGCGTTTCCAACCTCCCACTGGTGTTCCACTCTCGGGGTGCCACTGGACCCCTGCGGAGTGTGACCTCCTCTGAGCAACAGAGTGCCCTCACCTGCCCAGCCATGGCCCAGAGGGACACAGGAAGGGCCCCTTTGTCCCCAAGGGCAAGCGTCCACAGACTGAGAAGGGTTCTCAGTGGCACCACCTGCTCAAATGGGAAGAGATGTGTAGAACTGCCTCTTTCTAACAAACAGTAGTTCCTTCAAAATCGCAAATGGAACGAAACTACCGAAAAAGAAGAGGAACCTCGCCCCACAGCGGTGCCAATGCTCACCTCTGTCCCTGTGACAAGTGTCAGCTGCAGCTGCGTGCACCCGTCTTTACGTACAGATGCCCGCAGACTGCAGGCCGCCTAGTAAACTGAAATGAAGCCTCTAACGAGCTGCCCTGGCTCCTCAGACCACCCCTGCCCGGGGTGGGGGGCGCTTTGCAGGGAGAACAGGAATGTGCAACTTCTGTGCGCAGGAGAACGTACAGCCACCTACCCCCCCGCCCCCCGCCCCGGCTCCTGTGCCGGCACTCACCCGGTCGTGAAGGAAGACCAGGGCCAGCAGGATGTCGTAGATGCCGGCGCAGACCTCGGCGGGGGACAGCGCTGCCAGGACCACCTCCAGCGGCTGCACGCGCTCGGTGACCAGATGGATGCCGTCCGCCTCCACCGAGCAGGACAGGAACCTCAGCAGGCACGGGTGCCGGAGCGTCTTCAAGTGCTTCCAATGCAAACAGAAGAGCCCGAGTCGATGCCTCAAAACCACACCCACCGCAGTTTCCCCTGCGTCCCAGGGAAGGGCAGGACACGTACACTTGCACTCAAGGTCCCTTCCAGGGCCCCCTTCCCCAGCTGCCCCCCAAATTTCCAGTAAGGCAGAGGAGACTCTGACTGGCTGACGCAGCCGACAGTACAGGGCGGACCGGCTCCACCAGGGCGGGGGGAGCTCGGCAGCCGGAGCACCCGGTGGCCGCTCAGAACCCTGAACCTGATGCCCAAACCGCTACCCGCAAACCCGGCAACGTGAGCGGAAGCCTGCAGACTATGGAGCGGGGTTGACACTGGGGGACGAGACACCGGGGGAGGGGGTTCTCCTTCACTGCTGCCTCCAGAAGCCCTCACTCGGCTCTTCAGTCCCGGGGCCCCTCACTGTCCTGGGGCCTGCGCTCCTTCCAGAGCTCGGGGCCACACCAAAGTTGGGGGGAGGCCGCCTGGCCCCATGTGGGCGAGAAACACCGTCTGCCAGTGCCCACCCGATTAATGACAGAACTTCCTTTTCTGTGTTTATTTTTTAACCCTGTGTGCCCACTCAGCCTTGGTCCAAAGGGACTCCGGGTTTGTTTCCTGGGTGAAGGACGCGCTGCCGAGTCTGAGCCGGAACGTGCTTGTGGCTCCGCCCCGGCACAGCCACGCCCGAATTCTGCCCGTGGACTCGAGGTGGCAAAGCTGACGGCGGCCTTTCTCAGTTCAAGTTTCTGCCCCTGTGACACAGGGGCCTCCTCTGTGGGCGTCGACGGAAGCCACAGCTCTGGCTCTGGGGTAGACGGGGGCTAAGACTGAACGGTGGCACCTTGAAAGTGCCCGTCCCAAGGTCCTGAACACCTGTCACGTGCCCCAGCACCGTGCCTGGGGGTCTGCGGAGGAGGAGCCTGAGAAAGGCCCTCCCGGGGCTGCACTGCATGACCGGGCAGGACGTGGCCGGCCTGAGCTGAGCTGACCTGGTGCCGACCACAACCGAGGCCTGCTTCTCGGGGTCCTTACAACTGGGGCGTGTAGAGTTACACCGAGGGGCTCGACTGTTCGTGACTGCTCTCCCTGACTGGCTACTTCCCACTGAACATGACTCGGGGCGCGGCCCTTATCTGCACTGCGGATTCACCGGCAGGTTCTCAGCCGGGAAGACAGCCATCACTTCAGGCAGTTCAAGAAACAACACAAAACCAAGGGCCTCGGTCGGCGAGCAGGACATTAAAGGGAGAAGCGCGCTCCCTCCCAGGCCGCACACCGGAGACAGGTGGACACGCGTTCTCTCTGTACATGCCTGCTGCACCGAGAAGCCTCAGGAAAAGAAAAGCCAGGAGTTGTGGTCCCTAAACTGTGTCATTCCCAGGCCACTGTCCCCAGGGTACGAAGATGCTGCCACCACTGCAGCCCTCGGGCCAGGCGAAGTTTCCTTGTCCCCAGCCGCCACCCTCTCCGCCAAGTGGCAGCAGACAAGGAATGCCACCCCTCTGCGCTCCGTGACGTCACTGACTGTCCCTGTGGCCCTGGACCGGGTCAGGCCAGCTGGGGGTCCTCCCCGGATGTCAGGACGACTGGGTTTTCAAAGGCGGTGGATGAAAACACGGCCCCCGGTCCCCCTTCATTCACTCCGTGTTTTCCGCAGTAACCACCACCGGCTGTGCCGGGGCCGCCCCACAGACCTTGGCGGCCTTGTCCACCTTGTCCTCGTTCTCCCTCTTGTACACGAAGACCGACGCGACTCGGCCATCCTGCAGCTCGGCGGGGAACACGGCGAGGCCGGAGGGCAGGGTGACCGGGGGCCCCTTCAGCACACAGCTCTGCAGGGCGCTGCTCTCTGCGCCCATCCCTCGGGCGGGGGCGGGTGCAGCCCCTCCCCAAAGCCACGGACCTGAAAGAAAACGGAGAACACAGTCGGACTCCAAGTCTCTGAACACCAGGCGAGGCCCCAGGCGAGGCCGGGCCAACCGGCCAGGGTCTGCCACGACCGAGGACACCTGGCAGGGGACGGCAAACGCACAGCAGGGCGCCCGTGACGCTGCAGGTGAGCAGCGGAGAGCTCCAGTCTGCATGGCAACCACACCCTGCCCCGCCAACCCCCCGGACGATCAGGGAGGATGACAGGCACCTCGGACTTGGGTCCCTCACGTTCCCTAAGGCAGTCGCACAACTGCCTCACAGGGGACAGAAACTCCATCAGGACTGAAGCTTCTCCAAGTCCAAGTGTGACTTACAAAGACGACAACACAGACTGCAGACTGCTTCTAACGAGAAACGTGGTAACAGGTGGGAGCTCAGAGAGGCCAGGCAAAGCCCTGGGGAGAGCTGGGACAGGAGACAAGACAACTCACCGGGTAGGAGTGACAACAAGTGTAGCGAGAGGGTGGCCTCCAGCTCGTCCCTGTCCTGCTGACATGGGGCAAATGCACATCTGCACGATCTCAGTGCTAAAGACAAACCCCACACACGAGATTCTAGAAAGTGCAAACTACTCTCTGTGGCATGGGCTTCCTGGCACGGCCGTCCGCGGGTGGGGGAGGGGACAGGCGGGGAACGAGGAGGAGGGACCTCGGGGGAACAGCACACTCGCTTCTCGACCAGAACAGTCGGGGGCACGGGGCTACGCACGCTGAAACTTGTGAAACTGTCCATTAGTTATGTTCCGCTTTACTGCGCGTCAGTCATACTTCACTCAAGGTGTTTTAAAAAGAAGCCTAGATTGTATGGCTACCCTGTGTCCGCAGGCACGGACGCACGGACGGGCTGACAGAGCATTGCTCTGGGGGTCAGGCTGGGGTGACTCCCACGCACACAGACATGCACAGTGCACCTGCTCTGTCCGGACCTGACGAACAGGGACACGACTCGCCTGGTCACCCGGCGCCGCCCAGGCCAGCACGGGCCCGGCCCGGCCCCGCCCCGGACTGAAGGCCCCAAGGGGCCAGGTGGTACCCTGGGTCAGAAGGGCCAAGGGCCTCAATGCTTACATGCAAATGTCCCTGTGGGTTGGCTTAAAACATTTTTTAAGCCCACACAGGTCAAACAATACGCCTAAAAATAGGCGGCAGACTCCAGCTCCGGCTTCTCCGCAGCTCAGAGCACACGGGCTGTTTCAGTCTCTGCCGTAAAATCCGCACCCTCTGGGTGACCGCTGCACACAGGCCCTCTGCTGGGCCCTCCCCTCACGCGGGCCCAGAGCCCTGCAGCACCCCCCCACCCCCGAGCCATTGGAGCGTGTGATGCCGCTCCAGACGCACGTCCCAAACGGAGATGTCCCAGCACTGCGGGCACCGGCACACCACGGTCTCAGGACACAGGGACGAGGGCTGGCGCTGGCCACCACACGGCCGGTCTCTCAAAATCCAAGAGCGGTTCTGGAATAAGGAGGAAGTCAGCTGCATAACAAATCTGCCGGGCTCCTAACCACTTAGCAAGGTGCCTTTCTTAAGGACAGAAAAATCAAAAACCATTAAAAAGGCCATGTCTTGACGTGTGACGTTCACCTTTCTGAGGGGACCACAAAGAAAATGCAAGTGCCTGTGGGGCTGTGGAGACAAGAAACCACAGCGACTCCCCTGTTCCGAGCAGGCGCGGTGCCTGCCAGACTGTGACCACCCACCCCACTGCGCAGGGAGGGTCGGGGCCAGCGCTTGGATCTTGCTCTCTTCTTGGACACAGTGGACGAGTCGGTTGCCTACCCAGTGCCGAAGGGCGGCCTCTGCACATCAGGTGTCTCTGGGACCCGTGGCCTGGCTGTCTCCCCAGGATCTGGCCGGGAGGTATCTCTGACCACCGGCAGGTAAAGGGGTGCCACAGGGCTGGGTCAGGGCTGTGACCGGCCAAAGCTGGGTGGAGGCGGGCACTCGGCAAGCCCAGAGGAAGCCATCAGGAGCAGAGCTGCGGGCGTCCCCAGGGCGTCACTGCCCTCCAGCCCCACCAGCATCCCCCTGCTCCGGCAGCCCCGTCCACACAAGGAGACCTCAGGGACACTCGGGGAGCTCAGTGGGGCTGCGTTCTGTGAAACCGACGGCCATTTCAGAGGCACAAACCTCTGTTCCTCTCTCAGCGCCTCCAGTCTGCCAAACCAGTTGGACTAGAGGAATGAGTTTGCTAAGTGTTGTTTGGAAGTGTCTCTCTGAAGCTGGCCTAACTCTCCTAGCCACGAAGGATAGCGTTCTGAAAAGTCAACGGGAAAATGAAAACCAGCCTGGCAGAAAACTCAGGCTGTTTACTAGTTGTAATGAGTCCCCAAAGCAGGGAAGAGGGTCTCCCGGATTTGGAGGCAGTGCCCTGGCTGAGCCTTCCATCATCTCTGAACAGCGGAGTGCTTCCTGGTCGCGACACTGGGCCTTATGACATCCACGGACCTTCGACTTAAGGTTTTGAGTTCCCTCATGAGATAAGTAACAGCTCAGGGTTACGAAAGGTTTTTAGCAAGAGGTAAAACTGGTCGTTTTTCTTAGCAGTGTGCATTTTGGGTCTCAGGCCCTACAAGAACACAAGAAAGATGCTGTTTTTGGAAAGCTTGATTAATGCCCACAGAAAGGCTCTATCCTATGCCCAGAGCAAACTTTATTAGGGGGACCCAGGGATATGCTGCTGATTGCAACTTGAAAATGCCTTCAAAGCGGAAATTCTTGATTCTTCCCTTCACCCAACTGTATCCTAAAAGGCACTAAGTTTGCTATAAGCAGCGGTTTAAGTAATTGGGCTAAAATGGACTTACTGAAATGTAAGACCGATAAACGGTAACACCTGGAGTTATTTTGAGGCATACAGGGGAAAACCTGCAACCTTGTGGCTTTGAAACGAGTCACTAGAAGGTGGAACGGGACCCTGACACAGGGCTACAGGAGTGGGTGGGTTGCAGGACCTTCCTCACAATGAACATTCCAGAGTTTCTGACTTGAACACAGTCTGTGTTTAGAAATGTGTTCGCCCATGGCCCTCCATCCCTTGGCTTTCTTGGGCAGCACCCCAAGTTTCTGGGCCTGGTCTGGGTCACTGGGCAACTCCCTGAACTGAGACCCCTGCATCCTCGGGGAACAAACACCTCTCCCTCTGCTCCATCCACAGTAATTAGCCTCCGTGATCTTGGTCCCGATCATGGTTCCCGCGGGTTCCGCAGCTCTGAAGCGCCCAAGGTGAGCACGGTACATTCAAAGGTTGCCTGTAAGGCCTGGTGTCTCATCTGGCGATAACGCTCCTTGGGGTTCTTTGCTTTGGTTTGTTTCAGGTGTATGTCTCTGCATGGAGCTCGGTCTGGCCCTGCCAGAGGACCAGGACACATTATGGACCCAACAGAGTCTGACTTCAGCCGAGGGGCGCTACGTGGGCTGGCTGCACACGAGTGCCAAGACCAGCGGTGACAGGGGTTCCAGCATTCAGGGCGCTCCTGCGTTCACGCGGTTTCCTACAGGTGTTCCCTCTTTATTCTAAATACAAACCAAGTCGCAGACAGGCCGGCAGCTGTCTTCTGGATCCAGGCCTCGGTCTAGCGTCCAGGATGAAGGCGGTGTTCCGGGAGGCACGACGCCGGGTCCCCCGGCTCCGGAGACACCGCCCACGCTGTCCGGCCCAGGGGACCACAGACCACGGGGTCCTGCGGCAGCCGCTCAGGGGCACTCGGGGCGGGGGGCGGGGCAGCTGTGTGCTGGGCTGCCCCTCACCTGCGGCACCTGATCCCGAGGCCAGCTCCGCGAAGAGGGCGCCCCGCCGGTCCCGGGGGACTGTGCACAGGTGGCGGGCCGGGCTGGACTCGCGGGGGTGCCGCGCGCAGCTCGCCCCCCCCCCCCCCCGCGCGGACCTGTGAGCTGCACGTGCCCAGTGCCCACTCCCAGCCCCTCTCCACCCCTCCTGGCGCACGGACTGGGACGCGGCACCCTGTTACCTGCCGGAGGGCGGCGGGAGGTGGCCGAGGGTCTTGGCTCCAGTCCCCTCTTCGTCCCCTGTTGACACCAACCACTCCTCGCCTCCCCGAGGGGGTCCGGCCACTACACCCACAGTCTTCGGGGGTCCGGTTTCTCCGCCACCATAGAAACGAGTCCGGAAGCCGGACAGAATGCCAGCCTGCGGCCCTGTGATGCCACCACCGAGGCGCGCGAGCCCGGAACCGAGCTAGAGCGGCCGCCCTGGGGACTCTTCGGCCGGGGCCATCTTGAGTGCGGGCGCCGGTGCCCACCCTGCGGCCCAGGCCCCGCTCACAGCGGCCGGGTGGGTTCTGAAGAGGCCCCCTCTTTCACCGCCCCAGCAGAACGTGCAGCCTCCTCTGGACCCTAACGTTCAGGCTTTTAACCCCGGGTTTCCACTTGATTTCCGCCCGAATCCAAAATGGCCCCCCGGTGCGTCTGACAAACAGTAAAGGGGCGGGGCGTAGGTATGGCGTGTGGACCCGGACAGTGACGTCGCTCTCTCTGCAGCGCTGATTGGCTGAGCCGCGTGGTCCAAAGTCGTGCGTTCCACGGTGGCTGAACCCAGGAGGAAGTCTGAAGTTACACTTGTTTCAGCCAGGAGTCCAATCTGGCACTGTAGGACCCGTCCTTTACGCTAATGACTGCTACCTAATAGGCTGCTGTGAGAGTAAAGTGAATGTACGTAATAGTTTTAAAGCTGCATGACTCAAACAATGTTTTCTCCTTGCCTTCTGCGTGGTCGCGGTCGCGGTCGCCATCGCTCCTACTTAGTACGTCTACACCCTCACAGGTGACAGCTGACCGGAATCCTTCGATCATCTAAAACTTTTAGGTTCTTTATGGTCGATAACAGCAGCAGAAACTTTAGGATGGATAAGGGAGCCCACAATGTCCTCTCCAGGTTAAACGAAAGCAACGAGCAGACCCAATGGTGTCCCCTATTCAGAAATGTATCAAACACTTAGGAGGACGCAGACTCGCACAGCATTCGCTCTGTGCTAACAGCCCGACTACAGCAGCGCACTCAGTGCTGGGTCCTCTAGAAACAGAATTCGAGCCACATGATTAAATTTAAATTTCCTAGTAGCCACAGAATGAAGGCAATTTGAACACTGCTTTAACACAGTAGATCCAGAAGATGTTATTTACATATAAACTCAATATAAAAAATACTATTGAGATATTTTGGTACTGCCTTCAAAATCAGATGTTTAATGGACTGGCTATATTTTCACACTAGGTGGTCACACATGCAGTTTCAGGAGGTCTAACCACCACCTTGCACTATGAAGGGGAGAAGCAGAGGCGCCACTGCCCGAGGCTGGATTCTGTCGTCACTGTGGTCGCCCTCAGCACCAGCCTCTGGCGACCAGAAATCTCTCGGGCCAGTGACGGAGCCAGGATTGCTAAGGGACGAAGCCTCGGGTGGCATCTCCAAAGGTGGAGGTTTCCAGAATGTTTCGACCCTGTTTATTCAGGAGTAGAGAGCATTTTCTAAGTATTTTAGCCAAATTACCTATCTTGAGTTCTTCTTAGACTTCATTTCTAGTCTACATCATGATAATAAACTTATTTTGGCCAATAAATACACATTTGTGACACTACGCTGTTAGCAAGACACCTGGTGTTATCAGGGATCAAGGCGGTTAAAGGACTTGGAGCTCCATCCCTGGAATGTGGCCTTTCTGGAGTGCGCGTTCCTGGTTCCTGAAGGCTGGTTGCCTCCAGGGCCTACCTTGGGCCATGCGGGTGTCCGACCTGTAGCCCAGGATGGCTGTGAATGCGGCCAACACAAAATGGTAAATTTACTTAAAACACGATGAGATTTTTTTTGTGACTATGTGTCACAATGTATTTAATGTGTGGCCCAGAGATGCCAAGCAGCTGGACACCCTGCCTTGGACCGTTCAGCCCACACAGAGCCACACACTGTCTCTGCTGGAGGAATTCAAGGTGAATCAGAGACACTGTGACGCCTGTGTTGTGAGAAACACTGCCTGGCTGTGTAAACACGACACAAATGCTCTAGAACGTGTAACCTCACGTCACAGACTACATTCAGGTAATTCACACCCACCCCATCTGTCCCAGGCACTCTGCTGACCACTAGGAAATGAGGGAACCATCACTGCAGAACAGTGTGTTGTCTGGGGGACCCCAGGAAAGCCTTTTTTAAACAAAGGCGTTGAAGATGCGCTAGCCCCTCAGCGCCAGGAACGTCACTGTAGTTTGCCAAAGCGCCCGGCCTCACCTCCAGCAGGTAAGTGTCGCGCTGCTGCGTGTGAATCTGGACTTGAGCCTGACGGCCCTGAACTCTGCCTGCCACGAGCTCCTGGTCCTTAGCAAGGGCTCGCCGGGTGCCAGCCTCTGCTCCGGACTCGGGAGACACCTGCAAGTGGGACCGTTCCCTGCTCTCAACAGCCTTGCCCCTGAGGGGACAGAGGCACGAGGGGAGAGACAACACGCACGTCAGTGAACAAAGACAACCTCAGATCGTGAAGTGTGAAGAGAAGATAAAACACAGTAATGTGTTGAGTACTTACTATGTGTTAGGGACTTCATATGATGTTCTTCCTGAGTCGCTTCTAGTAGTCCCTGGGAAGTTAAGCTACAGAGTGTTTGCTTCGTCTATTAATGTCGCTTATTGTGTATATTATGTCTGTGATACTTTGTACATATGGCAGATAATGAGGCAAGAAGCTCAGCGCTGAGGCCCTGCATCGGAAGCAGGGAGGCAGGCTGTCACTGACCAAACCGATGAGCTTGGGCCACTCATTTCATCTCTCCTGGCCATGGAGTTTTCAATGGAAATAATCTGACGGGGTTGCTCCGGGGCCATTTCCAGCTGTAACATTCTATGGTTAAAACCGGAATTCAGACAGCCCTGGCCAGTGAGGCTCAGTTGGTTGGGCCTTGTCCTGCAAACTGAAAGGTCACAGGTTCGATTCCCAGTCAGGACACATGCCTGGGTTGTGGATTCAGTCCTCAGCTGGGGAGTGTGCAAGAGGCAACTGATCGAGCGAGATGTCTCTCTCGCTCTCCTTCTTGCTCCCTTCCCCTCTCTCTAAAATCAATAGAATTCAACAACAACAAAAAACTGACAAATGTATGTTTTCAGAAAGATCAATTAGGTTGTAAGTTCGAAGACACAAATCACATCTTCACATGTTCCCTCAGAAGCACCTTGTATTTCCTTATACATGGGAGGTAGTTTTAACAATCTGTTGATTATACTGAAAACTTTTATGTGATTGGTTTTTCAAAGAGGTGGATGGACAGTTATTTCAAAGGCTCTTTTCACTCTACTATTCTATGGTTAAAGTACAAATCGAGCCAATAGTGATCAAGGAAGCCCATAACCAAAGGTCAGCAGTTTTCTTTGATCCGTGTGTCCCTTGGAAGCCTCATGTAACTCCTTCCACAGTAAGTGCTCAAGAAAATATCTCTAGATCGTGGCTATTTTATTTGCTTTAAGTAAATTTTCAGCATTATAACATTGAGTTCTTTTCAAAACTCATTATTAATGATAATGTCTTTCCATTTCTTATTAACTAAATCTTTTAATAACAAGCATCTTAGTAAGCAAAATACTGTTTTCCAGTTTTCCTCAATGAGACTTATAATTAGATTTCACAATAATAAAATTTAAAGGCCTCAAACTCATCTAGTTTCATGTACTAATAGGTGTTCCAGGTTTTCTACATCAAAATCTGAAAGACACGGACTCGAGTGGCTGCACTCACACAAAACAACTTACTGTTGTTCCACTGTTCTCGGAAAACTCCCGGTTAACACCTCTGGGAAGCGACCTTCAGGCACATGCATGGAATTCAAATGGGGCGTCATTTATACATTTTCAGGGTAGCACATATCACGTGAAATACTCAAGTTTACAAGGGAAAGGGGGAGATGAAATTCTTATGCACCTACATAAGCATGGAATTCCTAACGAAACACATTAAATAGGGACGCGTGACCTTCTCCAATTCATTGGTACTTTATGCTTCTTTTTAATAGAAATTAAATTAGTCACCTAATATACATAATGTAGTGTTTTCCAGTCTAGTTGCTTTTCGAGGTTCGCTCTGAGTCCCGGGGAAATGCTCTCCAGCATCACGAGGCGGTGTGACGAGGGGCGGGCCAAGCATGCACTGCACTCAGCACAAGACCACAGGGGCGGAGTTAACCTGCAGCTACCACCACGAAAAAATAAGAGAAACACAGACCCGCGCTCGCATCAGCATGCATTATTAGCCCCAGATTCAAAGCCAACCCAACCCCCACAGGCTTCCTCTAAGCTAAGCGCGCACACGGGGAGAGAGGCCTTCATCGCGGCCCGAAGCCGTAGTAGTAGGGGTCATCCGGGCGGAAGCCGTACGCCGTGGCTGGGCGTCCCAGAAGGCCCACCGACGGGCCGAAGCCATCCATGCCGAGGCTAGAAAGAGAACAAAAAAAATGTGAGTTATAATTTTCATCAGACACCCACAATGCCTGGGACTTCACTCCTTCAAGATTCTCTTCCCAGCAGTGAGAGTGATTTATGTGGATGTTATTAATCCCTTAAAAAATTTAATTTGGCTGCAAAACGTGTATAAAAAATATTCCCTTCTAATAACGTGCATTAGAAGGGTGGGGAACCGGGTCACCAGGCAGCCACTCACGACGAGGAGGAGGGCGGATCGGAACACTCTCAGTGGGTCGCACTCACACGTGGTGTGTACGCCACAGGTGAGCGGTGGGAAAGACGATGCGAGGGGACGGCAGAAGGGGGGCGAGGGGTTTCGCTGCCTGTAAGCAGCTCTTCCACGTGCAGACGCAGGACCGAGCCACTGGTGGTGAGGCCGTGCAGTCTGGGTTTTAGCGGTGACCGCTCACTCAGGGCCAGATCATGCCGTGAGCTCGGCCGTACGGGGAGAAGACAGGAAAGGTTACAGGCTGTCAAAGTTGGCCAGATTTGATCTGCAATCCTCCTTCTGACTCCTCGGTGCCAAAGATTACTCAATAGCACATGTCTCTTTTGAGTAACAGCAAGTTAACCATAAATTTGGGTTCAATTTATCCTGTGGAAATAACAGACGCCCGAAGAGAACCTTTGGTTATAAAGAGAACTTGACAGTGGATGACCTTTGATTATTCCTTTTAAAAAAATGATTCTTTCCTCTGTTAGTAAGTTATCTCGGAGAGAATCTGCTCTGCAAAGCACTTAAGGGTCAGAGCTTGCCCGACACCCAGCAAAAGGACGGGGCCCTCGCCCTGCCAGGCAGACGTGGGGCTCGAACATGCTCATGCAGCGAACGCCGGCGCTGGTCTCCAGTCAAAGCAAATGGTATGTGATGCAGAGGTGTGAGCTCCCAAAGAATAAATCTGCCTAAATGACTGAAGATTGGGTGAGGTTACAGTGGATGGAAAACGCTTACCAGCAGAATCTCGGTATTCACATAGCCACTCACTTCCTTCTCAGGACTCCGACGGAAGCAATGTAAAATACTAAGGTTTTAAATAATTTGTGCGTGCGCGCGTGTACACTGGGACAGGACCCGATGCCACATGTGAGGAGTCACGATACACACGAGCGTAGTAGTTAATGTGACTCTACCTCGTAACGGAATGGGATTTCTGAAACGCGTTTTAGGCAGCATTTTTAGTGTGTGATCCTGGGTAAATCAAACTTTTGGGGGCTCCATCTACGATTTCTGGATGTTGGCTGAAATTTTTAAGTCTGAATTTTATCTTAAAATGGCAAAATATTAGCCCACCTTGGTCCCACAGGAAGACTAAATTTTATGAGCTTAGTCTCAACGTGGCTCTGAAGGCGTTTCAGAAGTTAATGGAGTCTGTGAGCTGAGACACACGTGTGAGTTTAAAATCAGAGCGAACATCGGCTGTTGGAAACTCCCCCCGAAGCACCACGGTGACCAGCACTCGTGTCCCTGAACAACTCTCTCTACCGTCCAGAGAGACCGTACAGCTTGTGCAGTTCAATGTCCGTTCTCGTCTTTCTGCTTATCTCTGGCCTTCTGCGACTCCGTACGTTTTTTAGCATCTCTTCCTGAGGCTGAGCAGCAGACGGCTGTGGTTAAACTCAAGTTAATTCTGTGTGTTTCTCAAGGTAGGGGCTATCGTGAGATCGCTCTCAAGAAGCTGGAAGTAAGAAGCACAGAGCAGATGGGTGAGTCAATGCACAAAGGCACCTTCCAAGCAGAACCTCGCACAGAGGGACGGTGGCGATGTGACTAATTCCACCTCCAAGAGGTGCTGGTAGAACCACACCAGGCAATTCCTTGGGGCGGCCTCCGGCCACACCGGCAGCATCTGATCACGTCGGCAGGCTGGTCCTCGCTGAGGAAGGGGCCTTGGTAGAGGCTCTGAGGGTCTGAGGCCACGATACAGTCAAACTGCAAAGCCTTCTGTGTGTCATTTGTACGACCAGCAGGCAAACTTCTGGTCTTTTTCTGTGCAGCTTGCCCACACGGTAAAGAATGAATCTAGACATTATCTGACTTGCCTGATGGCTTTACTTTTCCTTGTAACTTGACAAGTGGATATTATGTATTTTTAAGTGTCAGCCACACTGTTGGTAAGAATTTGTACCCAAGTCAGTGAAGGTAAGACAAAACCTTGACTGATGAGTTTCAGTTGCTGAGCCTGCAAGGGTCCTGTGGCTAAGTTCCCTTTACACAGAGACACCTGTGTGTAGTGCAATGTCAAGAACAGAAGGTCTTGAACTTCCACAGGAGGAGGAAAATTTGAAGCCCTCTTTATTCTTTTGGGACATGTGGACATTTATTTACTCTGCCTTTTCCCTTGGGATGAGCACGTAGACTCGTTAATGCGGAACCTGGTTCTAAACCAGGAGAGCCCAAGAGTAAGTGTTCCTTTAACCAGAACAGATTCTTTATGTAAGTCCTTCCGGAAAAGGTCAGAAACCGTGAACACAGCAGGAAAGTGCGGCAGCAGAAATCCTGCTTTCCGATCCACGGAGACTCGGAGCAAATGGTATGGAAGGCCCCGTGTGCCCCTGCTGGGGACCCTTCGGCCAAGGGTGTGTACACTCAGGCACAGCCGAGCCGCTTCCTGGAGGTTTGCACATCTGGCTGTTGATACGAGAACTGAGTCCCACACGGCACATGTGTCTCTGTGTATACATGTGTGTCTCTGTGTGTACACTCCTAACCTGCTCGAGAGAGCTGTGTGTCCCTCCGGATCAGAGCTGCCACTCGGCCACCTGTCCTTTCCAGGACTAGTCATGTTGTGTCATTTGACCCTCATCCTCAAAGTCCAGGTATCACATTTTGGGCCTTTAATTAGAACAGCACCAAAATGCAAGATCTCTTCCCGAAGATATATAATTCCGGTTCAATGACAATGGTCACTGTTTGGCGTGAGAAGACAAGGCGGGAAGTGCACCCAGAAAGGAAGATGATAAATTCTCCATAAATGCAAAATTTGTATCTGACACTCAACAGCAAACAGGAGACTACACCTAGGTTTTGTGTAACATTTAGATGTCGAATCAGCATTCAGCAAGCAGAAGACTGAGCTTTCTATAATATTTACAAGGCTTCAAACACATTTTTAACGGCATTCACGAGAATTCTAAACCTGAGATGACGGGGGTGGAGGAAGAAACCCAGGCATGACAAGCGACGCGTCACATGCAGCACAGGACAGGGGGACGGCAGCCAGCGGGGAGTCCCAGGCCCCCCGAGGTCCTCAGGGCCCCATGCCATGGCGGGCGCCTGCAGGGAGGGGAGGAGGAGCCACCTACCTCGGGCTGTTGGGGAGGCTTAACTAGTGCAAGTTTGTGAAGCACTTGGGGGTCCGCGGGTGGAAGGTGCTGCACAAGTGAAAACGTATCGTTATTTTATCAGAATCAGACAAGAGCCACGTAAGTCTTTTCCTCCTTTGAAATCCCCAAGCCAGCAAAATGAATACATTTACGGATGCTACAAAAAAAGGCAAAAAAAAGGGTAAATCCAAGCCCCATTCTCTCTCCGTAGGCTCAAAGGGTCTTCGGGTCTGTTCCCAGAAATCCTCTGTGTACGTGTCGCCCACACCCCCACCCTCGACAGGTCTCGCCCCACTTTCTGGGCAGTTCATGCCACTCACGGATGCGGCGACTGTCGGAAAGGTCTCTGTTACGGCAACCTGAGGTCTGGTGCTGTTAGTCTCAGCACCGCCCTCTGCAGCCGCACACGAAGTCTAATTCTCCTTTAGCATCTACTTCACAACTCTGGTTTAGTCATTCCTCACAAGGCGGTCTCTCAAACCTTCATGGTCTCATGTGATCTCTAAAATACGTTTACTTTTTTCACTGTTTTTGTGAAAATGAAGAAGCTGAAAGTGTCTTACTCGTAATGTGGTCTGAAACCGGCACAGAATCTAATGAGATTCTATTTCTCACTCTCCCAACGCAGGCCAACACTGAGCTGATCTTACGCAAGCTTCTCAAGGTGCCACTGCCACACGGGGGCTCACGCTGACTGTGTCTGGGTGTGCACAATTCTGTGTACACGCACACACAGACATGCGTGAAATTTTCACTCGTAACTACTGTGCTGAATTTCTTTTGACTTTGGGTCTTCCTTTAGAGACTGTACTCTACCTGAGACAAAACCCTTTATGACAATCAATTTATAACCAGGGAAGAGTGATTCTCATGAACTACCTATCTTCGTGACCCACAAAGATTAGTCACAGGCTGGAATTCTTTGAGATTGTGAAGTGAAAGCCCTTAACCTGGACTGACTTTCCTCAGGGCAAACTTCCCAGAATATTATACAATGGTATGAAATGGTAATAACTTTCTAGAAGAGTCTGCTCTTTCATCAGTTACTCCAATATATTGATCACAGAATCAAAGTCACTATGCTTATCTTTCTTTCTACATAGATTATAAGTTGATTGCCAGAGTAACTTCAGCTTAAGCATGATCTGCCGTGGAAAATTCAGGTCAATGTAATAGTGATCCTTAGTTCACCCACCCACCCACCCAGAGAGGACACGAGCTCCTACGACTTACTGAGTAAAGTGCTGAGGGTCAGTGTTTTCTTTTCTTTTTTTAAATTTTAGACACTGTGGTGCTGGGAAGGAGACAACAAATCAGACCTGGTCCCTGGCCACAGATTGGAGGCAACTAACAGGGAACAAAATTCTGATAATAATATGATGCTGTGTTATGCTAGGACATTTATAAATTGCTACAGAGGAATAGAAGAGGCCCTCACATTTAATAAAACGTGGGAGTATATTAGACATACGTACAAATTGTTACAGAAGAATCTTGGGGTCTGGAAAGGCTTCATGGAGAACACTTTTTAATGCATCGGTCACCGCCTGACATTCCGCGTCGGCCTTGTTTCCTGTGAGGACGCACGGCCAGCAGGGGAAGGAGCATCTTATTCGTTGTCACGTCACAAGCGTCTCTCACTGTGT